TCACAAGAAAGTAAAAGTGTTTTTCACAAAAAACACCAAAAAGCACCACGCAGAATACAGTGATTAAGTAACTATTTGTTTCATACAAGACTGTTGCCTGGATAAAAATGTCAGAGTGTTGCAGGAGGTTTCATTGGCCCTGGGTGGGAGATTCAAGGCAGGAATCTGCAGATGCACAGCTTTCCTGAGCAGTCCAAGCAATTCCTGGGGTCTCAGCAGTGCAGAACAGGGGGATGTTGGGGGCTTCAAATACTCTGGAAAATCCTACAAAACACAGGGAATAATTTTGGAGCAAGTATCACCTCCGTGTAGATGGGACAATCCCCTGCAGTGCCTTTGTTTTCACATCCTCATTACTGCAAATTGAGTCCCCCTGTGAAAGATGCATATTTTATGATTGGCTTTTCACAAATATTAAAATGAATATTATATGTGTTATGTTAGGAAGTTACGCTGAATTAATTTTCTTAAGTAGTGTGATAAATATATTTTAGGTTATAACAAAATGTTAAAATAGAAACTATGCTATGTAAGATACTTTTTTTAAAGAGAGGAAGGAGGTACCCACACTGAGATAGCAGCCATAGGACACCAAAATCTTTCAGAGAAAGAGAATTTATTGCTCCGTTATCAGAAGAAACGAACTTCTTCCCACCTTGCTCAGAGATGAAGACACGTTTAGGATTCAGAGGAAGAAGCTGACACTGCCCAGACAGAATCCTGTGTTTGAATGGAATTTATGCATCATGGATGAGCTGTATGAATATGCAACAGGCTGATGCTTTTAAGGGTTAATCCTCTGTTAACATGGGTCCCTTTTCAGGCTTATTTTGCCCAGAAAAGGTACCCAGACAGTCCATAACTCTTTGTTTTTATTGTCTCATATTGTCCTAATGTAAATTGACCAAATTTTATTACTCTAATTATATTACTATTTTTATAACCATTTTATTACTATTAAACTTTTAAAATTTTAAAAACAAGTGATTGGTGTTTTTCACAGCCCCAGCAGACAGATTGCAGGTTCCACACCCACAGCTCTGCAGGTTTTGGTGCCCCTGCAGCAGTGATGACCTCTCATCATCCCCCGGACAGGTCCCTCTCCTCCTCCACAAACCATCCCCACTCAGAAGGGTTGCAGGGCAGGGCTGGGCACTGAGTGTCCTTCCTGCTCACTCCTGCTGAGCTATTAATGGCACCATTCTTCTTTGTCACAGACATATCTTCTGAAAAATCCCTTTGCTAGGATTTTTCCCCTGAGAAGCTGAGAAGCCTCAGAGGAAAAGAAAAACAATAATTATCTGCTGCTGTGGAATGCAACAGGTGCATCTGTGATTGGCCCATGTGAGTTGTTTCTACTTGATGACCAATCAAAGTCCAACTGCCTCAGACTCTCTGGTCAGTCACAAGATTTTATTATCATTCCATTCTTTTCCTTTCAAGCCTTCTGATGAAATCCTTTCTTCTATTCTTTTAGTAGAGTTTTAGTATATCATTTTCTTTTAATATAATATATATCATAAAATAATAAATCAGCCTTCTGAAGCATGGAGTCAACATCCTCATCTCCTCCCTCATCCTGGGACCCCTGAACACCACCCCCCTTCTTGTCCTGTAGCTGCCATTTACTGCAAGGTTCCTCTGCAGGTGAGCACATGAGGGATGAATGCCAGCTCACATTCCTGGGAAGTGTGTTACAATGAGAGGGAGACATTTGAGGATAATTAGAAAAGTGCAAGCTGCCCTACCTGTCATAAATGTCAGCAAGCTGAGAATCAATTTGCATTTCTCCTACAGAGAATATTATCACTTCTACATTGTACTACTGAAAATATGACACTGCACAAGGGAAGTATCAGAAGGTCTCCAGTTTTATTCATTTTTAACAATAATATCCATTTGACTGTGATTTTTTTTCCAACCACATTTATATGTGTGTATTTGCCTGGTTGACAGGGGTTGTGCACCATACAACTGATCTATATTAATAGATTGCACAATAATTGCACAAACCAGACAGAGATTGCCCTCTGAATGTGCTGCCAGGGTGGAAGAGCTCAGAGTGCTGCTTTGTCATCTCTTTGGGATCAGGTTTTTGTTTGGGCTGGAATATTTCCTGTTGTGATGGATGGAATTACACCAGGAGACAAGCTGGAACTTACACTTGAATTTACAACAGTTTGCAGAATTCTGTCTGGCTCAAAGACCAGCAGCACTGTGGTTTTCATAGTGGGGTAACTGGTGAGGGTGTCAATGGTGCTGCACACCCCTAAGTGAGAGAAACCGTCAGCATGACATTTTCTGGAAAATCCCTTCGCCAAGATTTCTTCTCTTGGAAAGCTGGGAAGCCTCAGCTTCTCCCTGTTTTGCTGCTTTGGAATGTGATTTGGGGATTGTTTACCCAGCATGTGAATTATTTTAATTTAATGACCAATCATGGTCCAGCTGTGTCAAGGCTCTGAGGAGTCAAAGGTGTTTATTACTCATTCTTGTGAAGCCTTCTGATGTATCCTTTCTCTTTCTTTAGTATAGTTTTAGTATAGCATTAATATAATATGATATATGTAATATAATATAATATAATATAATATAATATAATATAATATAATATATCAGCCTTCTGAGAACTTGGAGTCAATTCTCATCTCTCCCCTCATCCTGGGGACCTCACAAACAGCGCAGGAAGCACCAGTGATTCCTGAGCCCCCTGTAACCCCAGAGTGTCCCATCCCTCTGGGTGCCAGGCTCACCTGGGTGGGCTGCCCAGGGCTCCACTGGTTGTACTGGCACCTTCTGTAAGCAAAGCATGGCCTGGAACGTTTCACTGTCTCCCCTTGGGATTGAAGGTGTTGATTTTTCCCCATTTGTGGTTTGCTCCAGCAGCCCAGGGACACCAGCAGGGCTCAGCAGGACCAGGGCACAGGGCCACCCAGCTCCACCCTGTCACCAGCTGTGTGTCCTGTGCCAGTGTGACCCTCCCTGTTTCTGTGTTCCTGTGCAGCCCAGGAGCAGCAGGGATGGATTTGCTGTCCTGCAGCAGCCCCTCTGTGGGGGTGTCAGTCTGGTGCGTGCCAGGAGCACCCCAGACCCAGTGGGGCTGTCTGCACTGACTTCAGGACAAATCCCCTGTGCTCAGACATCACAAAGTTCTGTTTCTGTACCAGCTGTTGGGCACTGGGAGTGTTGGCTTGCTTGGGCCTTCCCACAGGTGTGTGCAGCTCCAGGTGTGTGTTCACAGAATCACAGAATGACCAGGTTGGGAGAGACCTTCAAGATCATCAAATCCAACCCAGCCCCAACAGCTCAACTCACCCCTGGCACCCAGTGCCACATCCAGGCTTTGTTAAACACACCCAGGGATGGGGACTGCACCACCTCCCTGGGCAGCCATTCCAGAGCTTTATCACTCTTTCTGTGAAAGCTTTTTCCCAATATCCAACCTGTATTTCCCTTGGCACAGCTTGAGGCTGTGTGCTCTGGCTGTGTCAGTGCTGCTGCAGACAGAGCCCAGCCCCAGCTGAGCACAGGCCCCTTTCAGGAGCTGTGCAGAGTGATGGGGGCAGCCCTGAGTCTCCTTTTCTGCAGGCTGGGCACCCCCAGCTCCCTCAGGGGCTCCTCTCAGGGTTTGTGTTCCCAGCCCCTCTCCAGCCTCCCCTGGACACACTCAGGTGTCTGAGGGGCAGCAATGTCAGTGCTGCCCAGCTGTCCCTGGGCTCTCCTGTGCTGCCATGTTCAGCAGTGCCCACAGGCTCTGGGCTAAATTCACCTGCCACTCACTGCTGCCTTGGCCCTTCCTCTGCAAGTACCAAAAGCTCAGTTCTAGATCTGAGATGGGAGCTCTGAGTGCTTTGTCTGAGGATCACTCCTTGGTGTCAACACTTGTAGGGTTGGCTTGCATCCATCACCTGGAGAACAGAGAATTAGTCAGATACATAAATTATAAATCTCTTATAAATCCTACCTGTTTTAATTCACTATGCTCCTCTATTTCAGTTTTGTACATAGTTTGGTGCAGTTCAAACCTCTAGAGAAATTTCCTGGGCTCAAACAAAAACGGTTGGGAAAGCAGGGGTTTTAAGGGGGTGTCCCCATCGTGGCAGTGATTTTCAGGAAAAAAAACCTCCACAGCTTGCAAAAGTCATGAAGTGTGTCCAGTAAGGCCCTGAGCCCACGTCTCAGCAGGAGTGCCTTACTGGGCTGCAGCCCTTTGGAGGGGCTGTTTAATCCTGATTTCAGGGTTAAACCCTCTTTTCCCTAATTTTCAGTTCACACAGACCATCAGACTCTGCCTCTTCCCTCAGCAGAGGCTCCCTGATCCCTGGGACACCCCCTGGAAGGAGCAGCTCACAAAGCTCTGCTCAGCACACAAAGCTGTACACAGCTCACAAAGCTCTGCACAGCTCCCACACCATGTTTTCCACAGGACTTGCAGAGGCTTTCATGGAAGCGAGACTTTTTTCAAAAAACAGATGTGAAAACTGGATGGCACTTCCAGAACCGTGCCAGCCAGCCTCATTTTCTACACTGTGTGCCACACAAGCACTTTCTTCAAGCTGCTGTGCCCACGGCCATTGGGTTTTATGGATCTAACCAAGGCTGAGGGAACACCAGAAGAACCAGCGAGCTGTGCTGCCAGGAGCTTTAATAGAATTACGTAGCAAGCCATTGGGGCTCGCTGCGACACTGAAATCTGCAGTTAAAAGACTCCGCAGACCTATTCACTGACCATGGCAGCACCTTTGTGTCCCAGCCCCGCCCCGCTCCGTGAGGGGCCGAGCCGGGCCGCGCTGGCCCCGCCCGCCATGGCGCCGGGCCGCGCCCTCACGTGCCCGACCCTTCCGCGCACGTGACGGCCGGGCGGAAGTGACGTCAGCGCGGTCGGTGCGCAGTTGTGCGGAGCGGCCGGCGCGGAGCGGCCGCCCCCTCCCGTCCCGTGCCGTGCCGTGCCCGCGGGGCCGCGCACGCTCCCACGTACGCACGCACGCACGCAGGCGCGGGCACCCGCACGCACGGCCGAGCCAGCGCCCGCCGCGCCGCCCGCACGCAGCGCCGCCGCTCACGGTGAGTGCGGGCCCGGGAACGGGGGGGACGCGGGCGGCCGCGCCGGGCCCGCCCCGCTGCGCCAGCCCGGGACAGCCGCGGCCCGCCCGGCCGAGGGGAGCCGCCTCCGGCCGGAACAGGTACCTGCGCAGGGCCCGCGGCCTCCCCGGCCAGCTCGGGGCACGGCGGGGCCGGGCGCTGGCGGCGGCGCGGCATCGTCCCGGTGCGAACTCGGTGCGGGCGGAGCGCGGCGTCATGAGGGCTCCGGGCCGGGGCTGCGGCTGCGTGAGGGAGCCGTGCGGGGGCCGTGTGTGCCCGGCTGGGGAGCCGCAGGCACCGATCCCCGCTCGGCTCTCGGCGGAAAGGGAGGCGGCACTAACGGGGCTGTTCTGCAGCGTTTGGGGCCGTAGGAACAGCGGGCCAATGGGGAAATCGGTGTTGTGAGAAAGGCAAAAGTCAGGGCTCGGTGAGGGCAGCCAGCCAGCTCTCAGGGCAGATCTGGTGTTTGTGCACGGCTGTGGAAATCAGGAGGAAGAAAATACATGTGCTGCAGAGCAGTGCGCAGTGTGTCTCACGGTGTTTGCATTATCTGGGGGGTTTTACATTCGTTTCTCTGAAACTTGATTTGTTCTTGAATCGCTGTGTGCGTGTTCCCTCCTGCGAGCAGGCTTTCTGTCTGCTCTGATGCGATTTTGCTGCAAGATGTGTAATTGTCAGTGTCATAAAAGTTCCAGGCTGGTGGAACTCAGCCTTTCCTGCGCGTTTGGGGCGGTAATTACACATTTAACTCTGAGGTTGAAACGCAGGAGGGCTCGGGAGGCTTTGGAAATTCTGTGTCCGTTGTGGTTTGTGACCGTTTCTTGTTATTTCAGAAAGTAACAGGGAATAAATTGAAAATTAACGTAATGAAAAAATGCTTTCTAGGGTTTTAGGAAGAAGCAGAGCTCTGGGCTTAAATACAAGTTCCAAATACAATTCCTTCATGTAGTGAAGCTGTACTCTTCCAATTTGATATTTTTTCTGTTTCTCATAGTTGATGAACTGGATTTAGCCAATCCCTAAATTTGGCTTCTATGATTCTTACAGTGAGGGCTTGGTGATTTGAGGACCTGTTTGAGATGAGAATACCCACAAATTCAAATTTATACAGGAGATGCAGGGATTGGAGCTGGCAGCTTCTATCCCCTTGTGCCATAGCAACAACAGAAATTGTGGACTTTGAGAAATATTGTGCAGTTTGTTTAACATTTCCATAAGTTAGAAGAGGTTTTTTGAAGAAAGGAAGGTTTTGATAATGTTCTGTGACATTTTGAAGACTAGAGCAATGCCACAACGTACAAATGAAGTTGGATCACAAGCAGGATCTTTGTGTTATGTTTTCTGTGTGGGTTTTGTTTGTGTGAATGACATGGAACTGTAGAGTCTTTCACATCTGGTCATGTTGTCTCTATCCTTACTGCCACTGAGCACTAGTGTTGGTGTTAATGCAGGTGTATTTAAATAGGAAAAACCCCTAACAAACCCTGGGTAGATCAGGCTTGCAGGTGAGAGCTGTATTCACTAGAAAGGATTGAAAAGCCTAAACTGCTCCATTCCTGGTTTAGCCTTAGGAGAAAAGAAGGCATGCACACCAAACTTAGAGTGCTTGGGGGTGTTTTACTCTTCCTCTGTGACAGCATCTTGTAACTCAGGCAGGGGAGGAGGGCTTGCATGGGAATGAGAGTTCCAGCTTTGTATTTTACTTTGTGTGAGAGCTTTGAGCAGAGTTGTTAGCTGTCCTTTTCTAGGCTGTGGTTCTGCATCCTCACTCTGTGCTGTCCCTGTCCAGCCCTGCTGCCTTCGGTCTTGGCCATCTGGGGGTGTGTCTCAGTTCTCTCAAGCTGATAGATAGAAACCAGCAATCCTTTGTCCAGAATCCTGGCAGGCAGCTTATCTGTTATCTGGTGAGGGTCCCGGTGCAGGCACTGCCTGCCAGCTGCATGGCAGCTCTGGGCAGTGATTCCAGCTGCCTGAACCCCTGGGCTGCCCCAAACCTCTGCTCTGCCCTGGACAGGCTTCTCCTCCACCCTGGGACAATCCAGGGACTGCTGCTGAGGTCTTTGGGTGAATGGAAGGAATTAAATACTACCTGCCTGTACCACACAGCATGGGTGCCTTGTCTTGGTCTTTATAGCATGAGCCCCCCTTTCTTAACTAATTCTGAGAAAAGTACCTGCTTTTGCAAAAGCCTTGGATTTGCATCCAATGCCCTGTTTGGTGGCTGAAGGTTTAACAGAACACAGTGTAACTGAGACTTTAATTGTCAGTTGCTTGAAGAGCTGAAGTGTCATGAACTATTTTCTTTGTTACTTAGCAGTGGAAATGACTTCTTTTACATTACCAGGCACTTATGTCTTTCACTTGTATTACACTTTGACTGGAAGTCAAACGGGTAAAATGTAGAGTGTTATTAAGATGGTAAGTAACTTAGCAAGTGCAAATTGGGTCATTTGTACAATTTCATGGCAAATGGCATTCTGAAAGTGTTCCAGAATGGATCCACGTTAAACCCTGCAGTGCCTTGGTGTGTGTGAGTCTGCCTAAGATCCTAGAAGGAAAGCATTACTGGGCCACCGTAGTGTGCTTTAGCCAAGGTGTTTGGAGATTCCTCCACAACTCTTGTGGTGGAATTGACATCAAAAGAGCATTAAATGGCATTTGGTAGATCTTGCTCTGGTAGTGTGAAAATGAGGAGTAACAAAATACATCTTTTACGAAGGGATGTGCAGTTTGTCTCGCAGTGTTTGCATTGATCTGTGGGTTCTTACATTCACCTCTGTGAGAGGCTTTTTCAAAGCAGTTTCCTAGAAGCATGCTTGTCCTGGGTGTAGCCGGAGCAGCTGTGTGCAAGACAGATCCAACTGGGAGTGCTAGAGCTTCAGCCTTTGTGCTCAGCTTCCCAAAACCTGGCTGTGAGAGGAGGGTGGTTGTCCTGGTATCTGCACCAAGGTGAGATCTGACAGGCCTGCTGAGAGCTGAGCTTGAGTGCCTGGCTGTAGCCAGAGTGAAAGGTGAAGGTTTGCACTCCCAGCATCCTTGGGCACTCCTTAATCAGAGCACCTTTAATAAGTACGATTGCCTTCGTTTCAGCTGAAAGAGTAATGCATATACAGTTAGCTCTGTGCAATTTATATACAGATGATGCACTGTAGACACTGATTTGCATATTCATTAACATGAGAATGCTTTGGAGGGAATGCCAGCAAAGCAGTTGAAAGACACGAATTCTTTGGGCTCCCTTTATACCGATCCTCCCTGGTGTTTGATGTGGACTTGGAGCATTCCAGGGAAGTGGACTGCAAGGTTCCACACCCCAGTGTAACAGATGCCCTTCCAAGTCAAATTATGGTGAGAGTGGGATGATTGCAACCACTGGGTAATACTACATAATTATACTTACACATGGTGGGTCCTTCAGAGAAGACCTGGAGATAATTATTTTTAATTAGAAGTGGTCTGACGTTTTGTCTGCATTACAGACTGTAAGCACTTTGTGTAGGCTGGTGGCTCTGACTTGTCTGTCAGTGGTGAAAGTACATCCCTGTCCCATCAAAGCTGAATTAATTTGTGTGTGTGAAGTTGGAAGAATGGATTCATTTGCAGTGGGAGTGAACAGCTTGAGGCTACCAATGTTATAGGGGGTTTCCCCCCTTACTTAGGTGGAGTTCCTGTCTGTCAGTCTGTACTTCCTTTGAGATCAGGTCTGTGTTGTGACATTTTCTATCCATTTCCTCCTCCTCTTCATTTTTGTGTGGCTCCTCCTTAAGCCATCTCCCATAGAGTATGTCCATGTGTTGCTCTGCAGTCCTTGTCTACTGATATTTCTAATAGTTGGGATTTTTTTGTGTATTTAGCCTAAATATTCACAGGAGGCCCTTGCTGGTTTTCCACCTGACAGTTCTTTTTTTTCACTGCCATTCAGAATGGTGAGAAGGTTCCAGAGTCTTTTCTCCCAGTTGCTGTGGGGACTGCAAGGAGGAGCAGCACATTTGTGGGATATGAGGGTGTGGGGCAGCACTGTGTTATTTGAGTGGAAAGGTTTCTCCATCTCCTTAAGGCTTTAACCCCATAGCTGGGAAATGCTGAAACCAAAGTGAAGCTTGACCCCCTAAGGATTTTGTACATTTGCAGACAAAATGTGACAAAATCAACATTGAAAGAGGAGCAGAAATGCACATGAGAAGAAAGTGCAGGGAGATATAAAGGGAACAGATTGAAAGTTTTCAAGTAAGTGAGAGTTATACTTGAGGGAGAAGGATGCACTGAAGAAAGTATGAGAGAGAAGAGCAGCCTTGCGAAAAGAAAATGCTGGTCCAGCAAAATACACCTGTTGATTATGGCCCAGAGTTAATGCTGCTAAAACTCCACAGGCCTTCAGTGGAATATAGCACTTTAAACACTCTATATAGCACTACAAGCACTTTTTTAATTCTTGAAGTATAGCTTGCTGTAGAACATTTTCAAAGAGATTTGTTTCAAATGGCTCTAGGTGTGGGTCAGGTCATTCAGACATGCTGCTCTGGGGAGCGTTATGTGATGTAAATGGCAGCTTGTTTGCTTTGTAGCTCAGTGGATTTTGTTTTCTTGATGTGTAATCACATGAATCCGAATGAAAAAGGCAATTCTGTGTAAGTTAGTGGTGTTGGAAAGTGAGAGGAGGAAGCCCATGAAACTGATGAATCTTCTAATTATCTTATATTGACTTGGAGTGTTTTGTGAAACCTGGTTATGAACATGCTGACAGCACTTACTGATTCCTAATTTTGCACAAATGGCAGTTTTATATCTGTTGTGTACCAGGTGCTGCTAATTCTCTTGGCACAGAGCTAGTTTTAGTGCTCCTTTAAAAAGCAAACTATTTATGCTTTATAGAGTCACTTACCCTGGGTTTATCAGTGCAGCTATACTGATAAACTCCACTTGGATTCCTGCCATAACATATCCTGTAACTAAGGTACTGCATGTGTAATTAAACTTCCTTGTTTCATAAATTTTATTTACAAAATTTCCTTCAACTGTGTTTAACTGCTTAACACCTAGTTGGTTTAAGTAAGATGTAGAAGAAGTTGTTCAAGTGTCAGCTATTAGCAGTTAATAAGAAAGTCTGGTTTCACAGAGTGCCTTTGTGTCTTTGGTGCTTGCAGGAAAAGTCATTGGATGTCCTGAGCTGGAAGGGACACACAGGGACAATCAGGCCAGTCCTGGCCCGAGGATTCCACCATGTCCTGAGAGCATTGTCCAGACATTCCTTGAGCTGTGTGAGGCCTGTGCTGTGAGCACTGCCCTGGGGAGCCTGTTCAGTGCCCAGCACCCTGTGGGGGAAGAGCCTTTTTCAAATACCCAGTGTAAACCTCCCCTGTGAAGATCTGTGTCTGGAAACCCATAGATGTGTGTACATGAAAACCTCTCCTGGGAGATCTGTGTGTATCTACCTATATATGCAGACAATCAGGTGATTGAAGATCCTGAGCTTTATTTTGAAGAATTTTTTTCTAAAACACTGGAATAGTGGTTGTGAACAGTATTCCTGTATGAGGCACTTAGAAGTGCCTTCAATGCAATTTTATGTTCCTTGGTGTTTGCATACAGAGTTCTTTTTAAAAAGGGATTTGGTTTTATTCCTGTGGGTGATGCTGGCTGTAGGAGCCTGGGTTTTGTGTGAGTGCATCATTCAGAAATGACTGGACAGGACTGTGGGTTTGTCATAGGCTCTGAGGAACTTGGCAGGAAGTAAACAAAGAGCTGTGGGCTGGTCTCTGAATGCACAGAGCCTTTTGCCACTTGCTGCTGTAGCAGTGGGATGGATGTTTGATGGTAAAGGACTGGAATCCAGGCTCCAAGTGCCAGTAAGAGCAGACCATGAGTGTTTGCATCCCTTGGCTAGAGGCTGCAGGAGAGAACTGGGGAGAAAGCGAGGGTGGTGGATGGCAGAGAGATACTCAGTGACTGATAAATGGTGCAGAGGAGCTGAGTGATTGATAAATGGTAGAGAGGAGCTGAGTGATTGATAAATGGTGCAGAGGAGCTGAGTGATTCACACATGGCAGGAGGAGAGGAGTCCAGCACAGGAGAGCCCCTGCAGTGGATTTGGAGCTGCACACTACGGGGGAGCTCTGGGCTATGGAAATATTTTGAAAGCGGAATGAAATATTCCACAACAGGGAATGTTTCATTCCTGAGACGTTCTCTGGCTGGCTGAGGGTCAGGATGCTTTGAAACTTCTTCCTGCAGTGATTCTTCCCTGCCTGTAGCTACAGTTTTAATGCTGAGAAATGAGGAATTGCTGCTTTTTCATTTGTTATATTTTCTTCCAATGCGTTTCCTTGTTTCCAGTTTCATGTTAATTGTTGCAATTTCAAACTTTCCCTACACTTAAGTAAATTCTGGTTTTATTTTTCTTTATTTCCTGATTCAGTTACTGAAATCATGAATCCTGTGTATAGCCCTGGATCTTCTGGGGTTCCCTATGCAAATGCCAAAGGAATTGGTTATCCAGGTAAGCAGCTCTGTTTTCTGACGAGTTTGGTTACACTGCTCTTTGCTCGTGGTCATGAAGGAACAGTCACTTTTGAATGCCTTCATGGACATCTGTTTTGGGATTGGGATGAGGTTGCTTTTAAATTTAAAAAGTGACATTCCAAGAGTGATGTTATTTCTTCTGTTATATTTCTAACTTCAGTATCTCTTCCAATGCAGCTTATTTTAGGAGTTCTAATAATTACGCCCTGCAAGAAGGGGAGGCAGTCTATTTCTGCTGCCAGTGACTGGCACTCTTAACCTTTTTATCCTCTAATTCTTGTTCATGCTGTCTGTTCTCTCACTGCCCAAAGCATGGCATCAAAGGTGGCACCAAGAAAATGGCCAAAAGTGTTTTTGAAATGGAAATACATCGAATTTCCTGTTTTATCTGCTTCTCATTGACTTACAGTTTTTCATTAGGTTCCCCCCCACCCCCCCATCTAATGTATGTGCAAGGATGCTTCATTTCTGATGTCTCTATAGTCTAAAAGTTGGATGAGGCAAGATTAGATGTGGACAGAACTTTCCAGGGAGGCTGAAGAGAAGCCTGGGTGCCTCTGGGAGACATTTCAAGTAGCATGTCTTGATGCTGTCTTTTTTTCTGTTATCTCTGACAGAAGGGAGTTTCCATCCTGGGAGAGGCTGCAGGGTCTTTTCTGCTCAGCTTTGCATTTCATAAGAAGTCAAACTTCTTTAGCTTTTACAGGGAGGCAGTTTTATGATTTAGTTGGTGTCTGTGTGGGGAGGCAGAAATTATTCTGTGCTCCTACTGTTTATATTCTTGGTAGCTGTACTATATTTTCCTGCTGGTATTTACCATTCTTAAATCTGTTTTTCACCTTGGGTAATGCACTAAAATTTGTTTTCCTGTTCTACTTTTCTCTGTTCCTCCTTCTAAACAGTGGTGCATGAATGAATTCTGCTTATTGGCTTGATTGTCTCAAAAACATGGGTGGTTTTTTTTTTTTTTTGCTTTTCATGTGCCTCAAACTAGTGTACTTTCCTTGATTTCTACAGTATTTCTAAGGGAAACACCAAATGTGTTTAAATGTTTTTAGGTCTGTTGAGTGACTGGAATGGTGCAGTAATAAATTATAAAGCTGACACTATGTAACCATGAGTCCTGCAGGATGGTTTTACTCTCCGAGTTATAAAGGCTGTGGTAATCTTATAATAAGGCAAGCAGCAGAGGTTTACTAATTAATATAATGTATGGGACAGTAATTTCTGTATTTATAATGGATTGCTTTTTCCAGCCTTTGCTTTAGATAAAGATTATTATGGATTATTTGAATATAACTTCATATCTTTAGCTCTGTTCATTTTCTAAACTCAGATTTATATTAGCCAGGTTGGGATTTGTACTTATAAGTATCTACATATTGCATTGAGGCTTTTGTCTATACTAAACTAAGTTGTATCTTTATTTAGGACAAAATACTATTGTAAATTCATAAATAGCAGTTTAAACAACATTACAATCTCTGATCTTTTATTCTACTATTATATGTACTAGACTATATTTTTAATTATGTAAGTACTTTGCTTGCCATTCTGCATAACTAAAATATCTGAAATTGAAATAGAATTGTTGCAGAAGTGCCTTAAATGTCATGCTGCAGGGTGGTTACTTAGAATTCTCCCTTGCAGCAGTTGCTTGGTCAGTTCATGCAATGTTGACCCCTAAATTCAGCTTAGTCAGTGATGTGTTACACCATTAGATAGTTTGCTGAGTGCCTGGTCCAGCCTTTAAGATTGTGGGATTAATACAAAGCACATTCTCTAAAATGAAAAGTAGAATTGCATTGTAGGATTTTTTTTAAAATGTTGCATGACTAACTCTCTGTTCTTTGCTTCTCCTAAATTGAAAGCTGCAGATTCTCCACTCCAAATCATTGCATTTACATGGGTTGCATGGTGATAGAAAGTGAGGAACACAGCAGTAGGTGGAATGCATTACTGAAAGGCAATGTGTTTCTAAAGCTGTTGCATATTTAATAACTGTTTATATTATACTACACCTATTTTAGGCTGTTGGGTAGTTTTACAGCAGCAAGAAATCAATATTCAAATGTTCTATATGGATGGAAGTTCCTTGTGGAGGCTAAAACTGCTGCTTGTTGTAGTTACATTTTCCATAAATGACCTGTTTCTTGTGTAGCTCAGTGCTCCTCAGTGCAGCTAAAGCTGTGAACAAAGAAAGAAAGGACTGCAAATGTTTCCCACACACACTTGCAGATGTGTAGTGTGTTTGAGTAAGGTTAAGTTGTACCATAGCTTTGCACCAGGACCTTGGGAGTTTGAAAACTGAAGAGTTATTTACACTCTGAAAAGTTGTTATGACTTGGAGATGTTATTTTTAACTTTGATTTTTAAGCCTAAGGCTTTTCTTAGTCTTCTCCATGCTGACCACCTCACAGTAGTGCCAAGTGTGTCACTTGATATGTTTACAGAGTGCTTTACAAAACTGGGCTAGCATATATGGTCCTGAGCTGAGTAATTCTTATTGTTGGGAGTAATTGCTGAGGACTCTGGGATTCACAGTGAAATAAAAACCCTTCAAATCCCAACAGCAGTTTAAAACTAAGCTCTGAGTCTGACAGTGGGTATGCAAATATTAATTGCCTTTTATCTGAAGGAGCTGAAATCTTTAGAAGTAGAGAGCAGAATGTGGTAGGAACTCCATCTTTCTGAATACAGACATTACTTGGCTTTACAGATTTGAATAATGTAAATAGGTTCTTGGGAAAACTAATAGCTATGATTAATTCAGAAATTTTACTTAATCTGAACAAGCTTTGTGTCTTTCAGGTAGCAAGCTTTTGCTAATGCTGTGTTGTGCCTTGCACTGGAGTATATCAGTGTTCTCTGGTGCAGAAGTGCTTCACTGTCATTTTGGCAGTACCTCTGTGAATCACAGTTACTGCTGTCACAGTGTGTGTCTGAAACTGGGGAGCTTCTTTAATACCCAGTGTAGTAGCAAATGTGTGTCAAATTCAGCAAGCAATTTGGGCTGCTGCTGCTGCTTTGTGCTTTCTACTTGAGATAGCTCTGATCTGGAGAGCCAGAGTCACTCTCACTTTTAGGAATTTATTTCTGTGAGAAAGTCCATTCAGATAAATACTGTATGTGATGCCTTTTTGGGGGCTACCTAAAAACAGAAGGCAGACTGTTAAGGGAATAAAAAGTTGCATTTATTGAATGGTCTTAAGGTACCTAGGGTATTGAGGGCAGACAAAGCCCCACAGGGGCTACACCCAAAATGGACCATGGGTTTTGCACACTTTTGTAAGTTTGGGCCATTTGCATATTGGGGTCAATCTTCCAATTCCAGCTTCAGGTAATGAAGCCATGTACCCCAAGTTTGCTCCCCCCAACTCACTTTTGTTTTCATCTCAGGGCCTGAGGCAGTGAGGTGTCCTTGATTGCCAGGCCTGGAGAGGAATCGTTGTGCCTGCCCAGAATGGGAAAGCAGCAGCTCACACTGTGTGTGGGGTTTAGAGTTATACACTAAAGAACTGCAGGATTACAAATACATGAAAAACACAAAAGCGAAAATCTTAAGGCATTATTTGTATGTCACACCAGGGGGAGGAGTGCAGGACAGCTACACAAAACTTGGTTTTGCCACTTAAGAGTTACTTGGCCAACAGAGATGGCTGGAAGAGGGGTGTAAGAGAGAATGGACTTGTGAAACCATAGCTGCTCTCTTCCCTTAGCATTTGTCTTCAGGGGGCTTGGCAGAGGATTGCAGTGTTTTATTTGAGGAGGTTGATTGAAGGCTGTTTCCTTGCCTCAGTTAAAGCATGTGCAGTGAGAGCTTGGAGAGTAAAGTGAGCCTGGATGGTAACTGTGCTGTGTTCTCTCTCCCAGCTGGCTTCCCCATGGGCTATGCAGCGGCTGCTCCTGCCTATTCCCCCAACATGTATCCTGGAGCAAATCCCACCTTCCAAACAGGTATGTGAACTGGGGGCTCAGCAGGGACCTGGCCTTTGTGAGGGGTTAGAGGCAAGAAGGAGGAAAAGCTGTAGGGGCTCACAACAACACATGTGCTGTGGGATAAGTTTTATATTGCCTTGAACATGACTCATGAGGAATCATTTGATAAATTAAAGATACTATAATCTCAAGTCATACTGCATGCACCTTTCAAGAAGGGAACAGCTGAGGTTTTAGCTGTTTTTTCTGTATTTCCAGATGATCCTTGAGGTTTGCATTGCATTTCTCCTCGCTGTTTCTTTCATGGCTCTGCTTGCTTGGCATCCTTCTGGTCATTCCCAGATTCCTGGGGTTTGTTTCTGTCTGTTATCCTCAAAACTTTTCTATTTCACTCCTTTCTTAAATTGTAACTTTCCAAGTTCAGCTTGCTGGCTTCTCTCTGTCCTTAGGATTGTCTTGCACAAGCTGATGGTTGCTGGGTAAAGCTGATTCACCATTTGGATGCAGGGCAAGGACTCAGGTTACTGCACTGTCATGGGTGTCATTTAAGGAAGGGAATGGGATGAGCCTAGGAAAGGGGAGTGGGAAAACAGACAAGAACAAGGCACTCACCAAAGTTTTTTTTGTGTAGTTCTGCTTTCACTAGTAAAACACGATTTTAATGTGCTAATCCTCAAAACAAAACAGAAGCTGGTAGTGTTTAATTTCCACTTAAAGCAGGAACATGCTGAGACAACAGTGTTCTCCCTATGGTTATTTTGTACAGGACGGAATTCCTTACATTGCTTTGGTAATGCAGAGCTGGGCATCCTCAGAACTCCTCCACTTCCCTGTATCATGCCAGTTCTCCAGAGCTACATGTGGCATATGACCAAATTTGTCCCTGAATGCCCTTGTGTAATTTCTGGCAGTAGGAAAGGATACTGCTTGAAATTGGGAATCCTATGCTGTGGGAGCTTGCTCAGTTTGTAATGGATGGACTTCATTAACTACCAGGAGACTCTTGAGGGTGTGGCAGCGATTACTGAGACAAAACACTCATGTAAAATGTTTGCCTGCAGAACCTGTTAAAAGTGTGCAGCTTTCCTTGGAACTGTGTGGGATTCTGTTGGTACAACCTCTGTCACTGTTCAGTTTGCTGCTTAGAGGCAGAGTGAGTTCAGACTCACACTTTGTCTTGTCTTTGGCCTTGAATTTAAAGTAAGGAGGCAGATTAATGCTAGAGATTGCAGAAACTAAAAGAAATCAGTCCCGTGGCTGGGTATTGCCTCTGTGCCAGTATCATATCTGGGATGCCAGCTTGCACCTGCACTGGATTGCTCCAGACCTCACCCTGAGAGCCATGTTCAAGGGAGAGCAGTTCCCATCAGGGGGGATCCCCTAGCTCAGGTGGCGAGCCCCGTGTGGGCTTTGATTATTGGCTTTATTTCTGTCAGGCCCCTCAGTTTCCCTGCCTTCTGTGCTGCCCTGCATGTGTCCTGCAGCTGAGCTGAGCAGGAGCTGTAGGCTTTGATCCTGGGAGCAGGTAACTGAAGGTAGTACAGTCGTAGTACAGGCTGCAGTTTGCACATCCTGCTGCAGGAAGCTGCATGGAATCAATTTAACAAATCATGGGAATTCTGGCAAAGATTCTGAACCTGTTGGACTTAGTCATGTTGTAATATTAGTTCGCATTGATTAATCTTGGAATATATCTCATGCTATATACCAAAGTCAAAGAAAGAACCTTTTCACGTCTAAGAAAAATAAAGATGCATAAAAATCATATTCTGTCATTGAATGTCATTAATTTTTTAAAAACTAGTACTGTTAGTCTTTATTGCTGTTGAATAGGAAGTACGCTTTTATTTCAGAGCTAAGAATAGCTTTCATTTTTAGCTGTTCTTCAAGCTGTGAACAAAAGTTCAAAATGTACAGACCTCTAATTCAGGCAGATAACAACTTGGAGTACTTTGTCCTAACAGTTGGGATGTTTTTATATCTTTTTTAACCTTTCTGATGTAACAGCTTGTTTGTAGAATCAAAGCTTTTGTAAATTCATACTACACAGCAGTATTTGAATGTGCTGTGCCTCTGCTGTTACAAAAGGGGGCTTTTTACAGGTAACTGTCTTAAATTACTGTGGTTTTGACTTCTCCTGTCATTTACTATTAAGGTCTTTGTTCCATATTATGGAGAAGAAAAAATGAATGCAATGGCAGAATACCTCTTGTGCAGATTTACCACTTTGCAAGAATGAAAGAGAAATTGCCTGTGCAGCTGCATCAGTGGGTTTTTAGAATGAAAGTGGGCTTCACTGAGGACATGGTTGCAGTGATTCTTCATGTTCAGCATTTTGTAGCTGGGGTTTTCACCACAAGTAGCTCTCCATACTAATAGAAGTCACTTCCTCAGCATGCTGGATCTATGAAATACTTAGGATCTCAGACTAAGTGCTGTGGTACAGCTTTTTTAAAGGTAAATATTCTATTAAAAAAACCAGTCAACCTATTTCTTTGTTAGCTAAGCAACTTTTAGTTTGAAGGGTGTCATGAAATTGCAAAGAAGCCCAGACTTCTTTAAGAAGAATGAAGGTCATGTGTCATCATGCTGTTTGCACAGACTGATTTTTGACAGCACAAATGGCACAAATTCTCTGCTGTACAACTTCAGATCTGTTCTCTGTATTGAAGTCAGCCCATTCCAGGCAGTTTTTAAAATCAACCTGATCCCTACTCTGATACTCTTATTTTTTCTATAATTACCAAGTGTCTGTTCTTTCTTGCACTGCCCTGGTACTAATTTATTCAATTCCAACTAATTACAAATTGTACCTGTGGATCTTGTGTCTCCCAGTGTGACAGACCTGCATGTCATCCAAGATCTTTTCACAGCAGCACAGGCAGGGCCTTGATGCTTTCTCCAGACCAGGTCATGCCTGTTGTGTGCCACCCTGAATGTTAAAGCTGTTGGGTGCTGCTGCTGAGGTGTTCATATTCCCACTGTGGCCATGGAGTAATCCTGAGAGTGTAGCATGCAGAAACATTATATATATTATAGAAAATATATATAAACATTATATATAGATAGATATATATCAGTATATCACAGTCTCCTCCATGCCTCTTCAAGCCCTTTTTCTGACCCTGACACCTTGTCTGATGAGGGCTGGAGAAATTAAGGAAAAGCTGTCTTTGGGCAATATGAACCAGCAGCTGCCAGTTATCCCTCTAAAAATTCCACAGTTCCAAACATTTACAAAGGCAGGCTGATTTTGGGGGCCCTGTAATAGGAATGCCAACCACATTCTGATGGCATCTGAAGTCTTACTGTAGTATAAAAATAATTCTTAAGTGATGTTTAAGGACATGTCTACATATATAATACTGAAAAAGAAGATTTAAGGATCTTAGTGCCTTCCAGGTTGAATTTGCAGCTGCACTGAACTTTGCAGTGTTTGTGTTTTAAAGGTACAGCATTTCATGTTTATTTTAGCCAGTTCAGAAAATGCCAGAAAACAAATAGAAATAAAGGTAAATTGAAGTAGAGGTTGCAGATTTTGTCTCTGTTCTCTGAAAATCCATCATGAGGTTTTTAGATGATTCTGGCTTTTGAAGTTCTTACTCTTGTGCTGTAACATCCCCTACAGCAGGTTGGTTGACTGCTGCTGTGTTTTGCCAGTATGATTTGGGGTGTGTGGAGAATTGACTGACACATGTGCCAAGTCCCCCTATGCAAGGGTGCTGCCTAATATGCCACATCCTGGTATTTAATGTGTTATTATGAAAATGTGCTTTTTGCCCTGTATCCATAGGTGCAAGTACACAGTTACCTTTTCATGCTTAGTTGACACAGCCAAATACTATTTCCAGACTGTTTCCAGTATTAGGCAAGTGATAGACCTTGTGCTTGGATATTGGGACTAAATGAAGTGTGGTGTTACATTTTAGTTAAATGGTTTGCTCTGTCTCACCCCTCCAAAATGTACAGTTTATTCCAAGCCTGTGATCCTCCCCTGCAGTACCATGGGTCTGTAATTCCATTGGCCCAAGGCCTATTCTGCACCCACTTTGAATCTCCCTGCTAGGCTGTGGGGGGACACCACAGATTCTCTCTTGGCCCTTTTCCCCCCAGGCTCTCCCTCTCTCCCCTTCCCCCCTTCTCCCTCAGAAGCCCTGCTGCTCCTGGGGATGAGACCCCCAATAAACCCTCAGCTAATCAGCACCCTCAGAAGCTGTGTGGAGTCTCCTGGCCTGCCTGCTGCTGCCAGTGAGCACACAGCTTAGGGCCTCCCCAGGGATCCCTCAAACCAACAGCTACCATGAAGTACTCCCATGTGACAGAACCCAAGAAATTCCTCTGACTGCCCTGGAGGACTCGAGACCCTGTCAGGGGGCTCAGAGACCTTGGCACAAAGCTCAAGATCCCTGTGCCTTTCATCTTGAGCCATGGAAAAAATTACCAACCTTATATGAGGATTTACAAGCCACAAAAGTTTAAGTAGAATGATAGTGAATTTATCACAGGGTGAAAAATAGATATTTAGAGGTTTTTAGAATGGGGGTTCAGGAGGCAACATGGAGGAATCTGGGCATGTTCAGTCTTTCTCCTTCTTCTTCTTGGCCTCCATCTTCTGCTGTGATGGTGGCACTTTTAGATTGGTTTAGAGTAGAAGCTCACTGTCTAACATAGGTGATAGGTATTGGGAAGTTATGGTAAATAATGTAGTTTTTAGTATAAAGAGACAACACCACCTCTGAGGTGGGCAGTGTGCCTCTGTCTGACCTGCCAGACAGATCTCAGCAGGTCAGAGAAAGAATGTTCTAGATAAGAAACAATAAACAACCTTGAGAATGAGAACAGAAGAATCCTGACTCCTCCTTCAACTGCCAGGCTGGGAAAAGAAGCCTGTACATATCTCAGAGTCACTCTGAACAGCAGAGACTCTGAGAGCCATGAAGCTTATGGAGTTGGGGAGTATGAAAATGATTGCAGCGTGCTCAGAGTGTGACTGCAGGTTTCCTGTGTTGCAGGTTACACGCCAGGCACCCCGTACAAGGTGTCCTGTTCACCCACCAGTGGGGCAGTGCCGCCCTACTCATCCTCACCCAACCCCTACCAGACTGCTGTGTACCCAGTCCGAAGTGCCTACCCCCAGCAGAACCCATATGCACAGGTACGTGGGCCGAGCACACAGGGCCTCTGGGGCACCTCTGTGTCCCTGTCATCTCTGGGGAACTCTGAACTTTTCATCTCATTCATTTCTTTGTGCATTGGGAGAATGTTTAGCTGCCTGCTGGAAGAATTCTTAACACAATGATTTAGTGTGTCTGCATTTTTACATCCTCTCTTGCCTGACAGTTACTCAGCACTTACTGTAATGTGTTCATTCTTTGACACTAAATTCACCAGTTAATCAGAACCTGCTGGATCCTATAACTACCAGTATCCTGTTTTTTTGTTTGTAATAATTGTCATAATTTTTGTTACGAAGTTTCTGTTGTAATTTCACAGATTTGCCAAGTCTCATGCTAGGGAAGCTGTTGAAAACTATTACAAAGGATAGAATTAAGACACTTCAGTAAATATGATATTTTAGGGAAAAGTTGACCTTCGTTTGTAGTGGGAACTCACCTGGCATGTAAAGAGTAGCTGAAGAGGATTAATAAGCATGTAGCAAGTTTTATTCAGTCTGCTTAGTGTACTTGGATTTGCCAGAAACATTGGATTCTCTTACTAAAAGCAGCTGAACAAAAAGTTGTGATAGAATGAAAAGTTCTGTTATGGATTAATATATGACAGGGATCAAAAGGAAGGGAATGAATGATGCATGAGTCCTTATGGTTGAAATACTAAGGTCCCTACTTCACTTGTTATCCTAAATGCCTTAAAAAGGGATAAAATGTTAAATTGCAAGTGAAACAATTTTAATAGCTACAATAAATGTTTCAGTTTCTGCTCTGTAAATTCATTGCATTTAGAGTAATACTTTTATTTTATGATACATTTGTGAAAGAAGCTATCATTTATCTACAGATACGCTGTAATTACTTCGTGCACTGTTTTTTCTCCAACAGCAAGGCACTTACTACACGCAGCCTTTGTATGCAGCACCACCCCACGTAATCCACCACACCACAGTCGTGCAGCCCAATGGAATGCCAGCAACCATGTACCCTGCTCCGATCCCGCCGCCCCGAGGGAACGGGGTCACCATGGGCATGGTGGCTGGGACCACCATGGCAATGTCAGCAGGTGGGTGCCCTCACACTGAGGGCTTCTCCTCAGTGCAGCTCTCCTTTGAGCCTAGGGGAGCACAGCTGCATGGCAAAATGGGATGCCACAGGTGCACTTGACAAAAGCATACAAATGTTGGTACAGAAGGAATTGTGCAGGTCGTGTGTCTTCACAGAACCACAGAATGACCAGGTGGGAGGAGACCTTCAAGATCATCGAGTCCAACCCAGCCTCAGCAGCTCAACTAAACCCTGGCACCCAGTGCCACATCCAAGCTTTGTTAAACACACCCAGGGATGGTGACTCCATCACCTCCCTGGGCAGAACATTCCAGAACTTTATCACTTATTTTGTGAAAAACTTTTCTCTGCTATCCAACTGTATTTCCCTTGGCACAGCTTCTGCTGTGCTCTGGTTCTGTCAGTACTGCTATAGAAAGAGCCCAGCCCCAGCTGTGCAGAGTGATGGGGGCAGCCCTGAGTCTCCTTTTCTCCAGGCTGGGCACCCCCAGCTCCCTCAGGGGCTCCTCTCAGGGTTTGTGTTCCCAGCCCCTCTGCAGCCTCGCTGTCCCCTCTGGATGTGCTCAGTGTCCCAAGGTCCTTCCGAAGCTGACAGGCCAGAGCTGAACAGATCACTCCCAGTGTGCCCTCAGCAGTGCACTTCTGAGTGAGTCCAGCTGAGTCAGATTTGTTCTTGTTCAGCAGTACCCACCACCTCTAAGGATGGAGGTGCCACATCCTCTTTCCAGAGTTAGTATTGTGGGACAGCAGTTTTCTTCATGTCTGTATGGAATATCACTTACTCTTGCACCCTTTGTTTCTCCTTATATCAGTGTCAAGAGTGTGACTTTCTCTTCCCACTGTGTTTCTCTGTGCCGGTTGAAATCAGCAGTCTCATAGAGCTGAGGAAAATGCCATGTTCTGGGCTCACCCCTCATATCCCAGACCTTCCTTATCTTGAGATACAACACACTGTGTGTTTGTATTACCTGCAGGTCCTCTGTGTCATGGGAAATGGTTGGGGATGTCACCTTCCTAATGCCACAGTCTTTTGGTGGTAGTGTTTTGGAGAGAATGGTGTTTAATCAATAGTTCAGTGTCATCTCCGAGTGTTTGCTGAGGGGATATCATGCTTTGTTACTCCCTGGGTAACTCACAAAGAAAACTCCACATTCACTCAAGGGATGCTAATTTGAAAATCTAATAAACAGGAGCCATAAGGTTATTTTGAGATTCTGGTTTCTATCCTGTCAAAGTTATAATTTCATTTGAGAAACTTCAAAACTAGAGGAGTTAGGTGTCACTAATAGAGCTTCATTAGTGGGGAAGAAGCCTATCTGTAATAATGCAAACAAGAACTAATTTATTCTGATTTATCAGTCAAGTTATCTCTACCATCAAATATTCTTAATGGCATGTTAAGCCTGCTGTGGGAAGAGTTGCTTATGTTGCAGAGTTTCTGCTAGAGCTATTTTTGAGTATTGAATATCTTTGTATGCATGAGCCTAAACATCCACTGGGCTGCAATGGCCCCCTGGCATAAAGGTTTGAAGAAGACTGGGCCTGGAATGCAAAACAATTCTGGTAATTTTAAAGATGAGTAAGTTGTAATTGTCTTTAAAATAACTTCCATTTTTCTCCCCTCTTTTTTTTTTTTCCTCTCTAGTAGAATTTTTGCTTACTGAAAAACTGTTCTCTTCATTCCAGGTACTTTGTTGACAACTCATTCCCCAACTCCAGTAGCCCCTCATCCAGTCACTATGCCCACGTATCGGGCTCCAGGAACACCAACCTATAGTTATGTGCCCCCACAGTGGTGATCATCCTGGCAGTCAGTGTAAGTTGCATTGAAAGCACTTAATCTTTCTTACAAACAACAGCATTTCAGGTTCTCTGGGGGACATTTTCCAATGGAGGTGCTTCTGCAGAATTCTAATTGAGCAGGAATACTCAAAAATCCTGCTGGGGTTTCTTGAGTGGTCTGTGTCTTCACAAGTCTTGAATAATTTTCATGATGTGTGATTGTCAAATGTGAAAGAATGAGTCTTAAGTTGACTTTATTAAAATACATATGGAATTTAATATATTCAGTAATTTGGAATCATTGGTAATTGTTCAATTCAGCAGTACTGTGATTCCTAAATTGAATGTATTTGACTGTGTGATTGGCTAAGTATGTAGGCAAGGTGTTTTGCCTTGCTCAGAGGGTGAATATTTGTCACAAGCTGCTGAAACCATGAGGTGATTAGAGATAACCTTGAGATAATTTCATATATTCACTGTGTTTCACGTAAGTATCAGTTCATACTTCATGCAGTCAGCATGGAAAAAGCATTTTTAGTGTGAACCAAAATTTAGATAGTGGGTTTCAAGAAAGAGTTTAATTTTGAAATCTGCTATGAAGGGGGATGGATTTTGGAGGTGTAATCTGTGTCAAACTGACACAAGGACTAATGTTTTTGTGATACCCACTTCATTTCTAGTTTGTTTGGTTATTTTTAGCATAAGTTAAAAACAGCTTCATTTGAATTAGTGACTTGTCAGACCAACTGAACTTGAAGTTTTCACTTTTAGTCCATTTAGTTTATGACAAAAGTGAACTTTGTTTTAACTTTTTCTGGATTTGTGTTTCAGCAGTTAGAAGTGCAGAGTTCTGAGATTGCAGGTGACAATTTCCTTTGAGTTAGTAATATAGCAGCCATTTCTCATTTTGCTGTGATGGTACTCAGCTGTCTGCAGATCTGAAATGCATGTCATTCATGATGTATTTCAGCCAAGAGCCTCACACCACCCAAGTACAAGAAGTGAAAATTATGCTGCTAATAAACTCATGACTGCTGGTAATTAAATTTAGCACAGAACACCTTCTTAATATTCCATCTTCTGCCTTAAAAGCAATGGTGGTGCTGGCAGAAAGCTGGACTGGACATGACCAGGGCAAGTCCATGTAGTGTGTTCTGACCTCAAAACGTGGCAGGATAACTGCTAGGCAACATTATTTAAACTTGGCATTTGTTGGTGTATGTGGTGCATGCAATGTTAGTGTGCTCTGCCACACTCAAATGGAATTTCACCTAATTGAGAGTATTTCCCACTCTTTTCCCCCTCTTAATGTAGGTTTAAAGATGGGAGATATGCAATCAAGAAATTGAGGTTTAAAAGTTGGTGCTGAAGCCCTCATGCCTCCAACCAGGACTTTCCTTCTGAATGCTTTCAACACTTGGCTAAACACTACTAATTCCTGATCACTGAAGATTTTCCAGTGCTGCATATCTTACATCTTGGAACTCCAGCAGTTAGTCTTAAAGCAAATCCTGTTTTGTGGACTGTCTTGCAATTTTTTAGCTAATTATAATGATAAAAAGGGAGTATAAATTTATTCTGATCCATATCTAGTTGAATGCATGTTAAAACACAAAAACAAAGCTTGCTCAATCTACCTGCAGTGACTGATGCAAAAACCATCATATGCAAATCCAAAGGAACTGAGAAGTATTTTACAACTTGTATCACTAATGCACTGTTGTAATGTATGCAGGGTCTGACAAGGTAGAATCATGGAAGTGAGTTTCTTTCTAGAATGCCATAACATACATTAGATGAGTGCTTCAGCCTGTTTCAGGTTGATGAAGTTGCCAGTTTCAAAGGGGCATATTTTTGTTTAAGTGATGTGTTCTTTTCAAATTCAGCTAATAAATTGGAGTGACTGGAAAATGAGTCAGACAAGCTGTAGACATCCCGCACACCGTTAGTTTACTTCATACCTTTTCATTTCCATTGTATGGAATCAGTGTTATACAGATGCTCTTAAGGATCAGAATTAAATGACAGAGGTAATGCTGTGTGTGCCAGTAAATAAGGCAAACTTCCTTGAGGCAAAACTGGCTCTTAGGAATAGTAGGAGGTGGTATCACCTGCAGAATGAATAGCATGTCCTGGGGAGATTTCTATCCAGTACTGTCTTTCAGATAATGCAAGGTGTGTCAAAGTGAGACTGCCACACAGACTGATAGAAAAACTCTTCCTTTTAGTTCTCAGTTGAGCAAATTCGTGCTGTTTTTCCTAAAGAATGTTGTAGTCAGTTGAAAACATATGTGCAGTTGATCCAGCTTGCTTTCCAGAAACTTAAGAGGTGCAAGGGCTTTCTGCAACAGAGTTCAGCTGCATGTTATTCTGAGGAAAGCTTGTGTGCCTGATGAGTATGTTAAAGGGGAACAAATCATTTTAACACAATTTCCTTATTATCTACTTGCAGTATGGACTATGGATACTGTGTAGTAGGGCTGCCAGAATATAGAGGGTTTAAATAGCAGTTTCATTTTGGTTTTTTTTCATGAAAATATTTGTAATTGAAGTAGGAGCCATTTGTTGGTTATAGCCTTTTGATGTGTTTTTTTAGTATTTTCTTTTTTTTTACTTCCTAAATTGCACTTGGAAGCACGTAAAATAAGACTCGACTGCAGATTAGCATTTCATTGCAATGAGTCATTTGTGATATTCTTTCTTGCAACTTCAATTTTTAAAGTACCTCAAAGCAAATGCTGTGGGGATAAAGGGCTAGCCTTGGAACCCATTTGTATACCAAAATTGTTATGGGAGAGATTTTAAATTTTTAAATTTGAATATTGCACATTAAAACTGAGGTTCTTCTTAAACCTGCTTGATTTACAATTCCAGAAAGATGCAATTTTTTTTTATACATTCTGCCTGCAATAAATTATGCAGTAAATGGATATAAAATGTTGTTCCCTTTTAAGCATTTACACAGAGGTATATCAGGCTGTCTTGTTCTCGTAGGTTAACTTCCATTCAGAATTAAATTTTTTGAAGTTGTGTATCTTAGTTATGCTTTGTTTTGGGGTGTTCTGCTCCTGTACAGGTTTGGCAGCTGATTTGGGGTAGCATCAGTGCTGATTTAGTGCTGCCATCCCAGTACTCTGCCCTGGTGAGAGGCTTGTGTACCTTCATACCCCATTGGTGGTTAGAGCCTTCAGTAACTTTATTTTTTACAGTAAGCACTCTCTGTATTTTGTACCCTTTTTTTTTTTTTAATAAAGTTTAGGTTTATTTTGCATGAATCACTGTCAGTGGATGGCCCCCTTATTTCTAATGCCTTGAACATAACTATGTTGTTGGAATAAGTACTTTCAACCTTACTCATGAGCACTTACTGCAGCTTAGGGATTTCCATATGTTTTTATATGGAGCAGAAAATGATCCAAGACAAACTTAGTTGAATGTGTACTGCTTTGTTCAGTGTGTGTAACAATTCCATGTGTGTGTTAGATTTGCAGCTGTGATCAGTCAGGTGTGGCAGAGCACAGTGAGCACCAACCAGGGCGCTCGTCCCGAGCAGGAGCTGAGGGCTGGAGCAGAGCTGTGCTGGGGAGGAGCTGTGAGGGCCAGGCTGGAAGTTTTGCTGTCTCCTGTCTCATCATCATGAATAAAGTCATAGGAGAGAACTTCCGTGAATGCTGCAATAGAGAATAGTCAAGGAATGAATATAACTTCCTATAGATTTGCTCTAACTTCAGATTCCTCAGTGTCAGCTTGGAACTGGGCTCCGTGTAGTATTCCATAACACTTAGGCAGTCTCGCTTACTTGAGCACTTTTTTTTCTGAGTTGCATTATGGGATTCATCCAGGAGGGAGAGAGTGTACCTTTTTCAAAGGTACTGCACCTTCCAGTCCTGAGCGATTCTGATCCTACTGGGAGGCTGGAGCTTGTCTCCAGGAGTTCTTCTGAAAAGTAACCAAAAGCACAGTGCAGGGGGATGGGGGAATATGTGTATATATAACTATCTCAATGGTATTTTGTTGCAAATAGTAGAAAGCATGGATATAAAACTGCAGTGGGGGAAACTGTACATCGTTAAATAGGCGTTTACACAGCGAGGGTCTTACGAAACATTCTCTCCTGCTTTTTATATAACATTCCCTATTTAGAATTCCTTTATAAATGAAAACGCAGTATGTGTTTGCACTAAAGCTCCTCAGCAAATTAAAAGAGCTGGTGCAGTAGAGACATTTCAGATCAAGCTTCTCTTTAAAAAAGAAAACTTTTATGGCAGCTTTATATAATTAAAAAAAAAAGTACTACTATAAACCTGGAACTGAAAATAACTGTTGCAGCAATAACTAAGAGAAGTCCAAGAATTTTTTTTAATTCAAATTTCAAGTGTTGCGTCTAGATAAAGTATTTTTTAAAAACCAAGGTATTCCCTATGTCAGTAACAGCTGATGAAAATGTCTTTTAAATGTAGCAGCAGCGAAAGAAAAATGGCTAATAATTGGCACCAAAACCACATAGCCCTATCAGTGTGGTGGTGGTTTACTAAACACCAGGAAGGAAAAGAGACAACCTACTGCTAGATGTTGCTTATGCTTGTTGTAACCCTCTCCTGTTTGGAGTTTCTAGGAGACACGCAGGATTGCTGCTCAAGAAAGCTTCATTTTGAGTGTACTATGCAAGTTAAATGCTTAGATGCAGCTGTAGGTGAAAAAGTCCTTTATTTCCATTGAAGTTCTTCCTTGTATCGCTCCATCCACTGATAAAGCTAACCAAACAACAAGCAAACCACCACCCATCAGTACCAGGGTGTCTGGCTGGTGTCAGGAGAGCTGATGGTTCAGAGCTGTGCCCCAGGGCATTCAGCATGGGCTGCTCTTCTGCAGGGTCCTGCCTTCACTGCTCCTTGGCCAGCAGGGCGAGAGCATGGACTTGGAACCACTCCCCAGTGCTTCAGCACCGTGCTCCACACTGCTCATGTGGCTTTGCTCAAATGGGTCAGCACATCAGCCTGACACCACCACCTAACTCTAGGCTCAAACCAGGGGTGGGACCTGTGTTACCACACTCCTGTGTGTGTGAGACCTCCCATCTTAGGAAGGTGAGCAATAGTGATGCTGCAGCTGGAGGTGTGGCACAGAGCCTGTGGCTGTGCCTGCTCCATGGCTGCCTGGGCTGTGTTTGTGCAGTGCTCCTCAGGACACAGCCCCAGCCTGTGTCAGTCCAGCTTCCTCAGCCCTGGGAGGCAGAGGCAGCCTTTGGGAGGGCTGTAAAAGACATGGCCATTTCAGCTCACTCACCCTGTTCTCATTAACAAGTGTCAGCTTCCAATCCTGTGTTGTGTCAGCTCGAGGCTTCCTGCAGAGCCCCTCACATGAGGAGGTGAGGTGCCCCAGCTCCTGGCAGGAGCACTGCAGCAGGGTGGGCAGTTGGAGCAGGGCTGGCCCAGAGCTGAGCTGCTTCCCCTCTGCTGGGAGGGCTCTGGGCACTCTGCAGCCTCTGCCCAGCAAGGTGTCCTGTAGGCACCAGGGAGGGAAGAGGAACAGTGGGGACAAGAAACCTTTTCTTGTGCAGGTTGCATAGAACACTGAGACATCTGAATTTCACTCGTAGTAAGGGTCCATTTGTGACTTTTACATCTGGACAATTTATGGGCCCTGAAGTTTCAACATCAAGAAAATGAACGTGACTTTTCTAAACCGATTGTGACTTTTGGGCACTTAGCAGGCAAACTGGGAAAGCTTTTTTAGCTGGCTGCTGTACAGACTTGTTTTAAGTAGAAGGGATTTATTAGTGGGTTTTTTTAATTGTAATGCTATTATTGGCTGCCCTCCTGTCCTAAGATCTAAAAAAGTGAGTGCATGCAATGGAAGTACAAGAGGCCCCAGTAATAGTTCTCCATGTTTGTTATGAAATAGACACAGGTTTCCTTTTTATGACTTTTTTTAAAACTGTCTTACGAACAGTTGTATTGGTACTTTTTTTTTTAAGTTTAGGTCAATGTTGTCTTCCAGAATAAGTTTTAAGGCATCACTCACTCCTGCATTGAACTATCGCATCAACACAAAGAGTGGAGATTCCATTCTGAGCCAGTTCAATTGTGAAAATTCATACTTTTTTTATTTTTTATGCAATTCAATGAGTAGATGAGCTCAAGTTTAAATTCTTAAAAGCACGTTTATTGTAACAAGAATTGTTATGTATTAATACTTCAGTTTTCAATAAAGATTGACTTGTGTTGCTTATTGTGGTTTCTTTCCTACTGTCTTTGGTGACATCCTTCCAGAAAACATTCTGTGCTGGAGAGCAGTATGGTGCATTTAAACTCTTCAAGCTGATGGAATCTGGTGATTGATGGAAGCAAAGCAAAATGTTGAAATGGGATGAGTGCCTTTGCTCAGTAAGGTTTTCTGATTCCTAACACAACACAGTGTCCAAGGCGCCCCAGTGGGGAATAAAGCTGCCCTAGGTTGTCCTGTCTGAGAGTGTGGTAAAGATGTTCAACCCTGCCTTGTTCCCTTTTGAGACATTTCTGGGGTTTGAGAGGTTTTATTTTATAGCTTAAAACAAAGGAAATGGAACAGATGTAAAACTTGACAATACTCGAGCATTTGCTTCATACCAAAGCCGTGCTGTTTGATTGGAGAGGTGACAGCCCTGAGCAGAAAGCTGTTAGAAATCAGTGTCTTGAGTGTTCCCCAGAAGGAAAGGAGCTGAGTAGGTGTGAAGTGTGGGTAATTATCCTATTTCTTTACTGTGTGGGTGGTTGTAAAGCTCCGGGGGAACAACTAAGCTGCTTGAACTAACTGGCTATTTTCATTTATTGTAGGTCTCCAAAAATAACAATAACTTACCTGATAACCTTCTGGAAAAAAGCAACACGTGGAAGAGGAAGGTGCAACGTGACTGCATCAATCTGCAGGAATAGTGTTTCATTGTCAGGATTATTGCTACAGGTAGATTTAAGTAGTTGAGCTTCTAAAATTGTAGCTGAGCACAAGGGATGCCATGGACAGAATTTTTTTTTCAGTGTGTTTTTCCTCAAGCTAATTGTTGGTCAGTTATCCTGGGATTGCTTTCATGTTACAGGTAGATAGGTTTGGGAGTGTTTTTTGCAGAGCACTGCAGCTGATGAAAATTCATAATCCTCCACCAGTGGGTTGCTGAAATCTGGGATGCTATAAAGGGAAAAGCTGTTCTTCAGAATGGTGCTGATCACTCCCAGGCTAGAAGGGTTCTGATGTAGCTGTTCTCCTGGGAGTCTGCTGCTCTGAAACCTGACCTTGTACTGGATTCAGCACCTGCAAGGACGTGGTGCTCAGCTCCTCAGTCTCTGGTGGTTCTAAATGTATCCATGGAACTGCCAAAATGGTGGGTCAGTAATGGTTTGACTTCTCCCTCTTGCCAGATGGATTTTGCAGTGGCAGTGTAATTAATGTGTGTTACCCTCCCCTCAGTGACAGGTGGCTCCACTTGCTGTGGAGATAAGAACTCCCTCATTTAGGGCAGCTCTGAACACCTGAGAACAACCAGAGCCCCTCCAGGAAGTGTCTGCTCAGTGATTGGTAGAAATCAGGCAAGAAATTCTGAGTTTCAAGTTTTCCTGTAACTTAATTATGGGCAAAACCAAAACTTGCTGTTTCTAACATCTTGTTTTAAATTCCAAACTCTGTGGCTTGCTGTAAACAAAGTCAGGTAACAGAAAGTTTCATTGATGAGCTCCCTTGGAATCAGGAATGATGTACTTACTTAGATGGGATTTTTTTGTGTAGGAAATGTCAGCGGTGCTGAATTGCATGGATGAAATGTCTGACTGGTGTGTAGGAGGCTAAGTGCACTCCAGGATTTTATTTTAGTATCCATCAGGCTATTAGCTATCCTGTCTTTATCATCCAGAATAGAATGGAGGCCATGTGATGACTTTAGGTTTGTGATGTTTATTTTAAACAGCAGCCAGAAGCCTGTGGCAGCTGTGGGAAGCTGGGCTGTGTCCCAGGGAGAATTGCAGATGCAGAGGGGAGACTGTTGGTACAGGAACCCCACTTGTAGTCCTTGGTGGGCTAAGAGATCCTTCCAATCCAAGTGTGACTGAAGGAACTTGACAATGAGCAGCTCAGCTGGCAACTTAAATTACCACAGCTGGGCCTTCATTTTTGGGCTATAGTAATCTACTTTGTAGTGTTTCACAATAGCTTTTTCTTTTCTGGGCAAGAGAGGTAAAATATGTGGGCAAATTGATGCTTCAGACAGGGGAAGGGGAACACACCTTCCCCAAGTTTTGCTTTTGCCAGCCTTGTAGGAATTGTAATCATGTGAAGTGCCCAGCTGAGCTCAAATGCAGCTCCCTCAGCTTCAGTGAACTCGTGGCTGTATTTGGGGATAAGGTTTTTCTTGATGGTGTGATATGGATAGCAAGTATATTATTTCAGGTTACTGGAGGTTAAAGAAAAAAGCCATAAATTATTATCCAGCCTGTGGGTAATGGGTGGGTGCTGCTTAGGAGAAAAGGGAAGGAAGTAGGTGTGGAAGGGTAGAAGGAGCTTGTAAGCAGAATGCTGTTCCATAGCTGCTCTATAATCAGTGGTTAATGCTTTTTGGGAGGATTACACAATGATGCAAGACTTCAAGTTGATAGCTTGTTTATTTCCCATCTCACAAGTGTAAATGTAGGCAGTCACACACAAAGGTACACAGCTCTGGGGTCAGTAGCACAGGTATTTCATTTGCACAGGCTGTGAACAGGGAGCTGCTTTGGTAGCAAACTTGTGCAAAGAGAAGCTCAGGACGTGGGGAGAGGAGGGGTGTAGTTGCAGGGGGAAAGATGCCAGGAATGTTGAGCAAAAAGAACAAGCAGCCTGCATTTTTCCTAGAAGTGCCAGCACTGCCAAAGCCATGGGATTTGAGTCATGGAGCTTGCTAAGGACATGTGTGAGACACATGGGAGAAATAAGGTGTGAGGTGTTCATGGCAAGGCAGGGCAGCTGGATTGCTGTGAGGCTGGGAAGGAGCACCCTTGGCTTCTGCAGAGCCTGCAGCCTGGCACTGGAAAGGAGGAGGCTCCACGCTGCTGCCCTGAGCTGTGGTCCCTGGAGGCATTTCTGTCTGCTACCAGCTCACGCTGCTGGCTGCACCTTGCACCGCCTCACTGACAGCAGCTGCGCTGGTGGGGCACTGCAGCCTGAAGATTGATTCCTCCCCACACTGTCCAGCTGAAAGAGCACCACTGTGTCTTCAGGGGCTTAAAATCAGCTGAAAACACTTGTGATTTTTTCAGTTCATTTTTATCCACTATCAAAGTTCTTATTCTTTAACCCATTACTTACCTGAAGACCTGAGCCTCAGCTTTGCTTGGGCTGGGAGCTCTGGGACAGGAGTTCCTGTGGGGGCTGGTACAGGACATTCTGGTTGATATTTTGTGTTGTACCAGTGTGGTGCTGCTGCTGTCAGTAGCAGTGGTGAGTCCTCCCCTGTGGTAGAGAACGTGAGCAGCACAGCAGGCACAGGCTGAGGCTCCAGCATTTAATGAGGTGTGAGCAGTTCCCTCCTTAAAGCTTGAGCAGTTGCTGTTGTACCATACTCACTGTCAGGTGGGCTTTGCAATGCCCATAGCCCTCATGAGCAGGTACGTGGTGGAACTCGACAGGAGAATGAAAACAACTGAAGTAGTAACAGTGAAGAAGGAATCAGCACTTGCTGGATGCTGCCCCACCTGCCAGGTGCTGCCAGCTCAGAGTCTGGGAGGGGAGTGCTGCAAACTTGTTCAAAACACTGGTGGCTGCAAACCAGTCTTGCCACAGACTTCTTCAATGATGCTGTTACATGAAGGTGTGATTCACTGCAGTAAATCTGGAGGAGCACAGCCTGATATTTTGACACATCAGGTGAAAGGCCTTTTCGTTTAAAAAAGCTAATTTCTGTCATTCTGGCATCCCAAGAAATGAAGTGTTCTCAGTGTGAAGCTGAGATTCTTTTGTTACTGGCAGGTGCCTGGATTCTGAGTTATCCCTGTTGGTGACCTGGTTTTCAGGAGGTTTTGGGAAGCTCTTGGGACACCCAGGTGCAGATGGTTGGCACATGGTTGGCTCCTGGATGGCAGAGCAGTGTCCTGCACAGTGGGAATCTCCTGCAGTGCACGTGGTGAGCCAAGGACTCTGCTGGACACAGAGGGGGCTCCTCTGAGCTGACACCCCCCTGTCCTTCAGGGAATGGGCAAATCAGGAGAGACAGTAAAGGCTGCCTTGGGGGAACTCTTCTCCCCATGGGAACTGACCTAGTTCTCACTTTGAGTTAGCACAAAGACAGTTTGTGCTGGTTCTGATGCTATTAGAACTCTTAACAGTGTATACACCCACAGTGTCTGAATCAGATATTCTAAACTAATAGTTTAAAATAGATTTTTTTTCCTTTTTTTTTTTTTGGTCACAGCACAGACTATGTTATTTAGTAGCCACTGGTTCACTGAACTGGTAGCTTCAGGAAATCATCTTTCATTTTGACATCCTTTACATAATGCTGTGTTTTACTTGACCAAATGAAATCTGGGCAGATTTAGATAATTAAGAATCATGGCTGTTTTCACAAGAAGCTTCCTAAATGGATATCTACAGAAGGAGAGGAACAAATAGAACCAACACCCTTAAAAAACACCCCAAACCACCCCTGACTCAATCTTTTTGTCCTTTTCATGTACCTCCATGCAGAACTGTTTTTCTGAGCAATTCAGCTGATTCTACCCTAAAATCCAGAAGGGTTGGTGTTGTTCAGACTCACACCAGGAACTTCAGTTTGTTTTGTACACAAGTCTGCATTTCTGGCCCCTGTTGAAGGTTCAGCTCCAGAGAAAAGTTCCTGATATCTCACAGCTCTGATTCTTCATGGTTCAATTGGACACTTCTTGTCCATTTAGCCCAGAGATCTTGTCAGAGCTGTCCTTGGCCAGCCAGAACCCCATTCTCCCAGGTTTAGCTGATGCCCTTGGGATCTGCTCTCTTTGCACAGCCCAGCCCAGCTGAACTGAGGGTTCACCCCAGTGCTGCCCATTGCCAGAGCTGTGGGAGCCACTCCAGCCCAAATGCAGGTGCAACAGGGAAATCTGGGCTGGGTTAATCTGTTACTATCTCACACACAGCTACACTTTGCCATTTAATGAGTAACTTGGGGGATGAGATGACTCTGAGTGTCTGATCACTTAAACATGAGGAGGTTACACCTGATCTGTGACAGTTTGTTCAGGAAACACCGAGGGCTATGGTGAGAGTTGGGAGGTGGTGCTGCTGTTAAAGTAATGATGGTATTTTGGGATGAATCCTCTTCAGAGCAGTCTGTGGGGTGGGCATGTTGAGCACAATGGGTTTGTGGGTTTGAGCCTTACCTGTTTTCTGTGCTGCTGCTGCAACTCCACCACTTTGTGTGAGCAGCTTTTTTACCTGATCTCAGTCTTGCATAGGCAATTGGATCCTAGCTCCAAATGTGGTGTGCAAGACTAGAATCCAAACTGAGGACACTTTTTAGAAAGAGTCCAGTGGAGAGTAGAATTCTTCCAGAAGTAATTAACTGCCCAGTGACTGGGATGCTGTCTGGCCAGAGAAGTCTGGTTTGGCACTTCAGAAATGTCTGTAAAAAAGTGTCTCTGTAAATCCTTTGTGTGCACTGGTCAGAGGTGCAGCCAGTTCTGGAAGAGCTGATAAATGATGATTATTTCAACCACTGGATGCATATTGACTGTTCAGAGTATTGCTACACTGGCAAGTAGTATCAGCCAATTCCTGTGTGTGTTTCAGGGGGGAGGAAGGGCAGGGTTGTTGCACTTCACAGCTGCTGCACTCCAGGTCCTGTGCCACTGTCACCCCATTTCCCTTGGGAGAGAAGGTGAGGATTTCTACCAGAGTGCCTTCATTGTAGATGTAATGCTGAGTGTACTAAGCAACATTCTGCCTAAGACCAGATCAGACATTGCAGCCAGGGGAGCTCTGAACAGATGTCAGCACTTCCTTCACACTGGGGACAGAGTGCTTTTGAGAGGGATACAAAGAGCTTTGAGGAGAATCTCCATCCTTGAGTCAACCCAGATAGCAACTGGACCGGACTATGAGCAACCTGTCACAGCTGGCCATGCTCAGTGTGGGGTGTGATCCTGGATCTGTGCTGGGGAGAGGATTGTCCTCTGCCCCTCTACCCCCCTCCACTTACTACAAAGCTGATGATAAGCTCAGAAAATTGATAACATCAGTGCCAACAGCTTTTCTTCCTGGCCAATCAAAACAGACATGCCATGGATAAGGAAAGGAGGGTGCAGACACTTAGGGTAAACACAGAAATGACAATTGCCTTCTGGTGCTGGGTGGTGCTGGCTGCAGCTGGCTGACATAGCTCTGTGTGTGTGTCTGTGTGTCAGGGTCTCTTGGTCACCATCTCCCCCCGTGGGTGTCTGTGCACACCTGGCAGTGCCTCAGTGTGTCTCTGGGTGTCCTTCAGTGTCCCCATGTCTGTGTCTCTTGGTGTCTGTGTGTGTAAGTTGTGCTAATACTGCTGTAACTGCCTCATCTCAGTGACTTCTTAGAGAATACTTTAATTTTTTCTCCTTTTGCCCCCCTCTCCCCCCAGCATTGACCCAGTGTCCCCCCCAGAGCAGAGAGTGACCCCTCTGCTCGGTCCCTGTGTCCCCACAGCTGGGATGGCTGCTCTGGGGTCACCTCCTGGCAGGGCCCCTGTGGCTGAGCAGCCCCTGGTGGAGCTGCAGGAGAACAGTCCCCACAGCAGCTTTGGAAAGAAACAGCTTCACACAGATAGACGGGCTGGAGACAAACACAGGCTGAGAGTCACTTTTACAAGTTTCTTTATGAAATTAAATGTTGCCCCTGGTCTGGGGGGAAGATATAGTGCAAGAAGGACTTTGTACATGCTACTGAATTCAGATATCCCTGGATGACCAGACTTTGGTCAGCTACAGCATCAACAAACACTGGATTTCTGAGCTCTGCAGACAGTTAGTGCTCACTCACACTTGAGCTGGAATGAGCCAGTGTCTTCCTTCCACTGTCACAGGATGTCTCCTAATCTAGGGAATTCAGTCAGTATGGCTTCTAACTCTCACTATGGTAAGGCAAATCTTTCTTTTTGCTAACCAAGGTTTAAATTCATTCTTTTTGGCCACCATTTGAAACTTGGGTACTTAAAGTGAGGCTCTTTATGCCAAATTTAGGCCTTTATCAAGTGGTTTTCCATTTTTAAAAGTGTCAGTAACACTCCTTGAATTTGAGGGTCTGTGGGAGTTTTCATAACAATGACGTTGCAGAGTTGAACAGCAGACTCTGACTTCTGGGAGCTAGGTTTGCAAATATTGACCTTTCTTTAAAAAAAAAAAAAAGGAAAAGAAAAATTAAACAGACAAAACAGGCATCAAGTTAACAACATCTGACAAGAACAATTACAGACTTACAAAATACACAGTTCTGATTTTTACCATAAATAAACACATTACAAACAATGAGCATTTTCATTGGCCAGGAAATATGGCAGAATGATGGAGAGACGAGAATCTAAAGAATTGAATATGGTATTAATTAGGCACATTTTTCTCTAACTTATGTAACTCAAACCCACTAGAGAGATTCTTCGACTTGACTCATGCTGCAGGTTGGCACAGTTTAACGTGGGGCACCGCTCACCGGTGCTGCTGGGCTAAAGGAGGGAGGGAGGAGGTCACAGTGCAGTGCTCACTGTGCTCTGAGGGCCTGCAGAGGCTGCTGAGTTAGCTGGACACGTGGAGGAGGATCACAGCTCTGAGAAATGCAGGGCATGGGGTGGGCACAGCAGAAGGTTCATCCCTCCTCACCACGGACTCGGAGCTGTTGTGAACGCGGCAGCGGCCACGGGGCCGGCGGGTCCACGGGCTGCCCTGGCCTGTGGCAGCTGCCAGCCAGCAGTGTGGGCACAGCGGGAAGGAGTGAGTCCAGTACAGCTGACAAGGTAAATCTCTCGGGCTGCAGCCTGTCCAGCTCCCTGCTGTGTGCTCCTGGAGCTTTGCCCGCTGGGCAGGGCAGGGCTGGCACCGCTGCACGCAGCCTCACCTGGGAGCCAGCGGGTCAGCCGGGCTGCACAATAAATAGGGAAGGCAGGAGCACCTGTGCCATCCTCTGTGGGCACAGGGCTGGCTGAACCTGGGCTCCACCTGCCAGCAGGGAGGGATAAAGTGCTTTCTCAAAAGGGCTTCAGGCACAAACAGGGGCTGCCCTATTTCCGGAAGGGCGTCAGCCTGCTGATGTTCTGCCAGAAGTTCGAGGGCTTGCGCTTGGGCTCTGCCAGCATGAAGACCTGCTGCTGGGGGAGCGTGCTGGGCAGCGTGGGGTGCTTCTGCCGCAGCAGGAACTCGTAGTAGGGCCTGGTGACAGCTGCCAGGAGGAGGAGGAGAGGGGAAGATGTTAGTGTTTTGTGGAGACAAACACAACTCCACAGCTTTGTGGAAGTTGTAAAGCCGGGATGTTTATTACAGCTCTGAACACGTGGAGATTCCTCTCTCTAAAAGACATGCAGTACCTCTGGGAACTCTAGGGTTTTTTTATCTCTCTCTCAAATCCATATGTATGCAATTTCACAATAGGTTCATACATATTCATTTTTACAAATTTCGTGTGACATTTGCAGCCAGTTCTTCTTTCTCAGAAAGAATTCCTAGGTCAGGCTGACCTGCTCTCACAGCAGTCTCTGTCTCTCTGTCTCCCCCCTTAGCTCTGTCCTTGGGCTGAAGCACAGCCTTTCTCTGAGCTTAGGCTTTCTACGAGAACAGGCAGTCAGACTAAACAGCTAAGTTTTCAAACTACAGACTTAACTCAAAGATGTACATTTCACCTAAATCGAAATGGATTTCTACTCTGGAAAATTTCTACTCTGTCTCATTAGTCAAGCACAGCTCCTTTCCCCCACTCTACCACCTCCCCCAGTCCCCGTTAAAGCTGCAGGGCTGTGAATTGGGTTTGTCTCAGCGTACCCTTTCCTTCAATTTATCCTTACTTTCAGCCGTACCTTTTAGGATTAGAGCGCATGCGGAAGGCCCAGAAATGTGCTGCACAACTGTCAGGTGTTCTGCCAGCACGACAGCAGGGCTGGAGAGCTGCAGCTCATGACTGGTGACAAACTGAGCTGTGCTCTTGGCTGTGCTGGGAGAAGCAGCTGCTGTGCAAGTGCTGCTGGTGCCTGTCACAGCCTCCTGGGCTGGGTTTCTGACTAGGAATGGTCAGTGCCTGCGTGGAGGACAAGGCTGGTCTGTGCTGTCTCCCGAGGGCTTTGCTCTGTTGGCATGGTCTGGCCTCCTTCCAAACTTCCCCCCGTTTGCAGCCAAACCTTATTTCTGGCCCTTTTTGACATGTAGCCAAGCTTGCTTTCAGGAGATGTGGCTGGGCTTTGAGTGCTGGCTGTACCACCAAGAGGAAGTGGTTGCCTCTGCGGGCTCAGAGGAACCAAGTGACACCTCTTCCTCTGAGCAGAGGGAAGGGGAAGGTGCCAGCAACAGGGCTGTCTTCAGCCACAGTGCTGTGGGCACAGGGATCTTTATTTTGCTTGACTTCACTCTCCCCTGGCTGCTGCTGACTGTCCTTGTCTCTGGCAGGTTGAACCAAGAGCTCTGCCCAAGCACGGTCCCTACCCTGGCACCCTGCCCAGGTTTCAGAGCATCTTCCACAGGCAGGAACAGCCCCTGCTGCAGAGACCTCGGTGGCCCTCTGTGCACCATGGGGACACTACAAACCTTGCCTTTTGCCAAAGGGAATGCCACGCTGCTGGGAAAGCCTGGCTGCTAGGGAGAGGCTGTGCACTGGCCTAGAGCAGGAGCTGCTGGGTTTTGGCAGAGTGCTGATTATGTGCAAAGTGGCTCTCCTGGAGTTGGGAATGATCTCCTGACTCCAGCCATCTGAATCTACCAGGAACTGCAGTGCAAATTGTCACCATCTGGCCTTCTCAAGAGTTTGTTAATGTCACTTCATTGAAGCCTTTCCCATGTCGCAAATACAGAGCCACCCCCCATTCCCACAGTGCTCCTGTGCTCAGGTCTGACTCACCCTTGGGCTTCCCAGCATGGTGCTGCTTGCTGGCATTCAGCATTGCCTGCTTTTTCTGCACCTCCGTGATGGAAAACCCTGGAAGATGAAGCAGATTTGTGTCAGCAGCAGGTCATCATTTGGCACCTCAGGAGAAGACAGGGGTGGGCAGATGCCTGAGGTGAGAGGCCACCATTTCTGCCAAGGCTGGGGCGCAGCCTGCTCCCCCAGCCTGTGCTGGGCTGCACAGACCCCCCTGCAGGGTTTGCTGCCTGCCCTCAGCCCAGGCTGCACTGGGGGGAGAAGCACTGCAGGCCACAGGTGGCTGAGATCTTTCAGATCACACCAGGCTGAATTGAGAAGGATTTGGACAAAACAACACAAACCCTCTTGGACAGGGAGAACCCTTGACTGAAGCTGTTCTATGCTGCTCTGGACCCTGTATTTAATGTATTGACTACTTTGTCAGCCCTGCTTGAACTCCTGAAGACACATCAGCCTCCCTGAGGACAAACTGCAGTGATGGCTTATGGTGGTTTGCAGTTTTTTGATTGCACAGATTGATTCACAATGTGTCATTCAGCAGCCCAGAGCATGGGCTGGCTTTCCCACCCTTTCATTCCTCAGGCATTAGCCAATGGGTAAAAAAAGATGAAAAACCAAAAATAATAATAATGATTTAAAAACAAACAGTCTCCCAGCCTTGCTCTTTCCATACCTGTCTCCTGGTCGAGCTGCACCTGCCTCCTTTCATTCTCAAACGCCTTCAGCCAGCGCTGTTTCTGCTCAGGCTTTTTTGCACAGAACAAATGGACTTCCTCAGTGTCTCTGCAGTGCAGCTTGAATGCATTTTTCACACTGATATTGAAGTCCTTGTCTTTGCCATCTTCCACATCCAGGATTTCCATGTCATCCATGCTGATGCGACTCTTGTAGTACAGGATGTCCCTGCGCAGGAGGTCCTGCAAGAGAGATCACAGCACATGGAGCTGTTCTTGATGTGATGGCAATTTACCCTTCCTGCTATCATCAGAGTCCTGTCAGAAATCACACAGGGTGTGAGTCTGTGCAACTGCAGAGTGCTGAGCTGCTGGGGGCATGCAGGGAGCCACAGTGCTTGTTCTGCCTGGTGGCTGTGCTGGGGCCTCTCTGCTGCCTGAAGCTTGGGTGTTACACACGATCCCAAATCCTCATTAGGCCTCTGACAGAAAACACTATTTGAATCTTTCAGTTCCAGTTAAAAGCAAAAGTAATACTGATTACCTCTTGAGTTTTTGTTGACAATGAAAAGTAACTTTGAGGACAGTGATTTTCATACCTAATTTACCTGGAGCTACCTGCATGCTGTGGAATATGCAAAAAATAATTGGCACATTCAGTTCTGAAATTCCAGTGGAAGATACTGTTCATTGGCTCCAAGAGGGAAGATTTCTGTTATTACTCAGCTTATGAAAAAAGCTGTACTTACAGACTTAATGTGCTGTTAGCATGGCCTTACTGACTGCCAAGGCCACAGCTGTTCATCAAACCTGCAGTGTTTTCTGAATACAACACTAAGGTGGGAGTTCAGATGAAGAACAAGGTATTTAAAAGAACTTGTGTGACAATACTCATCACTGAGTTGTACAGAATAACCCCACACTAACCCCAGAAGCTGTGCAGTGCTTTCCTCTTGTGCTGTGAGGATTAGAGCAGTAGCTGATTGCTGTGCTCAGGTGCACAGAACACCCCAGGAGCTCAGAGGAAAGAATGCACAGAGTGCCAGGAGCACATGAGGCCAGCAGGAATTAAGGAAACAAAGGGGTGGAGAGGGGAGCTCACTTAAATCCACCAGCACAGCAGCAGCCAGAATTCATGGTTACCTTCTTGCAGCAGACAAGCTGGTGATCAAAGAGAAAGAACATCCTCTGTTGGCTCTTGGCTTGAGGGTGGGAGATTTTGGCTAATTCCCCAGAATAGATGAGTTCTGAGCTTCTGACTAGGACATCTTCTCCCTGGGAACAGCACAAAGAACAGGTTGGTCTCAGCCTCATCTGAAAGTGGGAGCCTGAATTCCTGCTGACAGAACTTGTGTGGGAATGAGAGAGAGCCTCTGTGCTGGAGGATAGTCCTTGGCACATCAGGCAGACGCTGTGCCCTGGCACCCGGGGGGGGAGCTGAATTTGATTAGAACAATAGTGTGTTACATTTCTAAAAAGCTCCTGTTCCATGGAGTCTGCTCAGGAAAGCTGCTCCATCCCAGACATAAAGGAGGCACATAAGCAGGGAGCTAAGAATTTAGCCTGACATCCTTGGGCAGAGAGACAGTGTGGGTTTATTGAGTCTAGGATTTAGAAAATTAGTATTTTGTTTCTTTTATTTATCTATTTTTTAAATGAGTCCACAGGGAACGTTGGTTTCCTCTATGACTATGCCAGAAGTTGCCTTTCTGCAACAATAATCTGGCTTGTTAAGAATTAAGGAGCAATTCTGCTCATCCTGAAAGTTTGAAGTCACTCAAGATAAAATGGGGAGCAAGAGAAAAATAATAAAATTCCACTAACCTACATGCTGATTTCATTCTGCAAGGAAAAACAGGGAAGCAAGAATCCCAGGGCACATGCAAAGGCAGCTGGTCTAGCTGGGTTATATGCCAGACCTGCTCAGCTGTACTAAAATATCATAACTGTTTAAATAAAAATCAGAGAGCTGAGGTGGGGCTAGACACTGAGATACCACTGTGGAGAGAAGCTGCTGGAAGGGCAGAAGAGGAACAGTGTGGAATTCCTTGGGCAGGGAGTCCCCACCTCCCAGTCCTCGATGGAGCTCTGCCACTGGGCGATCTTGTCGATGTTCTCCAGGCGCCGCTTGCGCTCGTTGATGAGCCGAGCCACGTTCTTCATGGCGTTCAGGGCAGCCTCCACGTCCTTGAAATCCCTGGGGACACACACAGGCCTCAGGGTACTATGGCAGGTTTTGAAAAATCCCTTCTCCAGGGAAGTTTCAGCTTCTCCTTGTTTTGCTGTTTTAGAATGTGATTTGGAGAATTGTTTACTCGGCATGTGAATTGTTTTAGTTTAATGACCAATCACAGCCAGCTGTGTTGGACTCTGAGGAGTCAGTCATGAACTTTCATGATCACTTTTTTGCTAGCCTTCTCTCTGTATCCTTTCCCTTTCTTTAGTATAGTTTTAGATAATATAATATAATATAATATAATATAATATAAAATAATAATCAGCCTTCTGAGAACTTACTTGGAGTCAAATTCTCATCTCTCACCTCGCCCTAAAGCCCTCACAACACCCCAGCCTTATGCTTGGCGGAATGGCACTGGGGTGCTGTACCTGCACTCCAGAGGAGAGCAGCCTGGCCCAGAGCTGGGATGGAAGCAGGATTCCACCTGCAGTCTGTCCCAGCTGTTCTGTCCCTGCTCCTGAGGCAGCTTCTCAGACACTCCTTGGTTTTCAGGCACAGATTTGATGTTGATTAGAACAATAGCATGTTACATTTTTTAAAATCTCCTTTTCCAGGGAGTCTGCTCAGGAAAGCTGCTCCATCCCAGACATCCCACCCCTTTATGTGTAAAGGAGGCACATAAGCAGGGAGCTAAGAATTTAGCCTGACATACTTGGGCAGAGAGACAGTGTGGGTTTACTGAGTCTGGTAACAAATCTAGGCCACCTCTGGGGAAGGGAAGGGGTAAGTAATCAACTTTAGCTACAGAGGTGTAAATAGGAATTGCTGGAACAACCTGCAGGTTCTCCCTTTCTTTCTGCAACATAACACAACTCATTGACAGTGCTGCTGTGCCATGCAGGGGCTGGTGTGTGGTGCAGAGCTGAAGCAGTCCAACAGTGACTGGCTGGTTTCAAACAGGGGCTGATGGTTTATCTGGCAGGGCAGCACAGAGGCTGAGCTGCCCTCCCCCACACACCATCTGTGGCCACCAGCCACTTCTGCTGAGTTCAGAGCTGCTGGGAAGGGGCTGAGCTGCACAACTTGGCTCTAAGGCAGCTCTCAAACATCTCTGCACTTCCTTAGGCAACAAGATGTGCTTAAAACCATTCTGGGAAGCACCAGGGCTGCAGTTAGGAAGGTGAAATTGAGTCAAACCACAATGGACCAATATCAGCACTTTCATGGAGATTTTTCATGTTTTCAGGTACTTAATTAAGTGACAGTTATTTGATCCAAAGGCAGTGCCCTCACCCTGAATGTGAGTGATGGATTTGGAGGCTTTGGAGCTGGCACTGATGGGGCACCAGGTGTGCACGGCCTGGCTGCTGCAGGGCACAACTTCCCACAGGGGAAGTGCAGCTGTATGGGCATCTTTGGGTGTGTTCAACCAATGCTTTTGGAGGCACAATTCTCAACACCACCACCAGAAACATGGACAGAAACCAGGAAAAATACAAGCTCCAAAGTGTGTATGTGCTGGTATTACAGATACATGAGCCAAATAAAATAGAAACAGCCATTATAAAGTGGACCTTGTAACTCTTGATCTGTGACAGGAAAGCAGAGTGCTGCTGTAGTGGAAAATTATGTAAATATACTTTTATCATGTACTTAGAATAAGTTATAAGTTAATATTATAAATATAAATATAATAAATAGAAATATATTTATATATTTATATATTTATAAATATAAAGAAATATAACATAAATAATATAAATATAAATATATAAAAGTATATTATGATATAGTGTTATATAAGTTATATTATATATTATGTAAATGTACTTAATAAAATTATATAAATATCCTTTTTTTCCTGGTTTCTACGAGGTGACCTGTAAGAATTGAGCTGGCTGCAGTTAGCCACTGCTCTCCATGCACTAAGTTTTCTTTTAAGTTAATGCTAACATTATATAAGTTATATTAATATATAATATTAGAAGTTATATGTAACTTATAATATACTATGTAAATATACTTTATAAAATTATATAAATACACTTTTTTTCCTGGTTTCTATGAGGTAACCTATAAGAATTGAGCTGGCTGCAGTTAGCCACTGCTGTCCATGCACGAAGTTATATTTTAAGTCAATATTATTATAATATTATATAAGTTATATTATTATATAATACTATAAGTTATATTATATAAAACTTATAATATACTTATACTATGTAAATATACTTTATAAAATTATATAAATACACTTTTTTCCTGCTTTCTATGAGGTAACCTGTAAGAACTGAGCTGGCTGCAGTTAGCAGTGCTCTCCATGCCCGAGCACATTTCCATGGGAGCATCCTGGCTCCTTCCCACCCTCACCTGTGCTGGGGGTTGGTGTACTTGAGCAGCTCGGCCAGCTGCAGGGGGTATTTGCAGATTTTCTGCACGGGGGTGAGCAGGAAGCCGTCCAGGGAGATGTCGATCATCTTCTGCAGCAGGCGGCACGCCTCGAAGAAGTAAACGTACTTGTTGACCTTGGCCAGGCGCGACAGCTCCAGGCACGCGTTGGGGTGGTTGTTGCAGTACTCGGAGTAGATCTGAAACTCTGTTTGCTGCAGGGCACAGGGAGGGGTTACTGCCTTGTCCCTCAGGCCATGCCCTGTCACAGACTCTAAATGGAGCTGTTTGGTCATTTGTGTCCTCCCCAGGCTCTCAAACCCAGAGATTCAAAGCTGGGGGCTGGCAAAGTGTGTCACAGCTTCATCTGAGAGACCAGACATTCCCACACACCCTGCTCCGGGCTCAGCTGAATGCTCTTAGTGCCCACACCAGCCACAGCTGATCCTTCACTGACCTCAGAATACCATTACTGTAAACTCAGGCCTGCTCGAGATTTTGGAGTCTTCCTGCATTTTCCCTGCGGTACCAAGAGCTGGCAGGGATTTCATTGTTCAGAGGATAAGGTGCTTTGAAAATGCTCTTTCCACAGCCACAAGAGCTAAAGGATATTTCTTTAGGAAGTGGTTGAGCAGGGCTGGGATAGAGGATGGTGGCGTTTAGTGGATCTTTTTAAAGAAAGCTTCGGTTCTGTCTGACAAATTTCTAAATCCTCTGCCTCAATCCATCCTCAGCTACCCCTTTCCCATGAAGTCAAATTTACTTACATATTCCAAGAAGCATGATCCAACCTCACTCAAATGTGGGTGGTCTTTGTTAAATTTCTTCTCTAGTGCTTTAACAAATTTCTTCTGGCACCTGTAGATGTCCTCAATATTCCCAAAGATTGTCTTCAGCTGTTCCTCTGTAAACATGTCGGCTCTCTTGCGGCACTGCTTAATGTAACCCTGGAGAAAACCAGATTGGAAACCTCCTGGGCATCTGCTCTGTGGCACAGAAAGCCTCAGGCACTGCACACCAGGTTCCTGCACTCCCTTCCTGCAGATCTGGACCCATCTGTAACTATTATTTCCTCTCCTTTACCCTAAACATGGAACAAATAGAAGCTGCCACAGACTCATGGCAGCCCTGGGTGATGCTGAAGGAGTCACAGAGCTGCTTTATCCCTTGCTGAAACAGCCTTTATGTGTCTGCAGTGAGGTGCTCTGACCCCAGCACTGGTAGATTCAGATTAAGTCCAGGTGTGGACCTGGTTTGGTGTCTGTGTGAGGAGCTGCCCAAATGACTCCAGCAGAGGAGAGCTCCGAGGGGCAGGGGGACACTGCAGCAGGAGAGGCTTGTGTGTAAATGTGGGCTCTTTGCCCCAGCTGCCTCTGCTGGGAGCCACTTTTGTGCCATTGCAGTGGAGAATTCTCGAATTCTCTTCCTGCAAAAATTCCAAGTGCCTTCACTCCCCCAGTGTGCAGGATGGATCTCTTTTAGAAGAGGTGGCACAATGTTCAGCATGTTTGACAGTAAAGGATCCAATTGGCTGAGCATCCCCAGTTGTTTTGGTCTGAGCATGGCTTGCCTGAAGGCTGGAGTTGCTGATTATATTACCCCAGAACATATATTAGAGAGGACAGCAGTGCTAGACATTTACTTTTCTCTGGCTTGGGAAATTCAATTAATTCCATTTAATCAGAGTACAAGTGAGTGCTCCAAATGCAGAGGCATTTGGGATTTTGCTGTAATGAATTGTCTTCTGTTTTCTGACCATATACTGGCATTCAGCAGAACTGATGAAAATCCAGTCTCATTTCCAGAAAAGTTTCCTGCTCAGGGTCCCTTTCTGGGCAGCATGGGACACAGTCCATTATCCTTACAGAAATCCTTACAGTCCCTTCCCCCTTTGTTCCTTACCTCACAAATGTCCTTCAGGTGCTTGATGTAGTCTCTCTCTGTGCTTATGATCTCATTGATGACGTTGGTCCTCATCTGGTCTTTGGTGGTCTGGCCCATGCCGAAGCGCCGGGAATCCTCCTCTCTGCCGCCCTCCACCTTCAGGGGATAATCCTCCATGGGCTCATCCTGGTTCACCCGCAGCTGCAGCACAAGAGGGTCACTGCTCCACTGCCCAACACCTCTGCCAGGGAAGGGCTGCAGGGCGGGCACACACTGGGCAGGGTGGCAGGAGGGGGTGTGGATTGCCTGGAAACATTTCCCCTGGGAGCCTGAGGCCGGACAGTCACTGTGGGGAGGGGACAGGGCTGCTGCTCCCACCCTGGCATGGCTGGGTTTGGACAGGTATTTCTAGTGCACAGAAACTACAGGAATAATATGGAGTCCTTCAGGAATAATGCATATAAAATCAGGACAGAAATGGTTTATCAATTGAAATTTTCTTCAGTATTTGAAGGAACACTTTGGGAGGGAGAGGAGAACCAGTAAATGGTTGGATTTTTATCTACTTTATTGTTCTCACACTGTCGCTAAGAGATGGCCCCTCGGTGTCTGCTTCCCCAGGACTATTTAAAGCGAGTTCATTGCTAAAGCAGAAGCAGATCAGCTGCCCGTGGGCACCGAGGCGGGGGAGAAGGGCAGAGCCCGGCAGGGCGGTGTGGGACCCTCGGTGCCCCATCAGAGGGCAGCACAGCCCGGGCAGGGACACAGCGGCTGGAGGGCAGCGCTCTCTGCTCTGCACAGCCCCGAGCTAAGGGACACCGCCACAGCCCCGAGCTAAGGGACACTGCCACACAGCCCCGAGCTAAGGGACACCGCCACAGCCCCGAGCTAAGGGACACTGCCACACAGCCCCGGGGGACACCGCCACAGCCCCGAGCTAAGGGACACTGCCACAGCCCCGAGCTAAGGGACACTGCCACAGCCTCGAGCTAAGGGACACTGCCACACAGCCCCGAGGGACACTGCCACAGCCCCGAGCTAAGGGACACCGCCACAGCCCCGAGCTAAGGGACACTGCCACACAGCCCCGAGCTAAGGGACACCGCCACAGCCCTGAGCTAAGGGACACTGCCACACAGCCCCGAGCTAAGGGACACCGCCACAGCCCCGAGCTAAGGGACACTGCCACACAGCCCCGAGCTAAGGGACACTGCCACAGCCCCGAGGGACACTGCCACAGCCCCGAGCTAAGGGACACCGCCACACAGCCCCGGGGGACACTGCCACAGCCCCGAGCTAAGGGACACTGCCACAGCCCCGAGGGACACTGCCACAGCCCCGAGCTAAGGGACACTGCCACAGCCCCGAGCTAAAGGGCACAGACTGCAGCATTCCACTCTGGGCTTCCTTTTCTGGCACTGCTGAGTGCCCTGGGAATACTCTGCTCGTGACCCAAAGGATCCCTCCCAGCACAGAGAAGGAGTTAAAGTTAGGAAGGTAAACCACACATAATTACAGGAATTTTTAGTACAGTGACACAGAACTGCTTTAAACTTTTAATGTCATTTCTTCTAGGCTCTATGACTTACCACTTGATACAAATACACCTACATATAAAACACAGTGCATACCCTCCCTTGACAGCACTGGCACAGAGTACATTTACTCACTGCTGAAGTTACATTTACTTACTTCTGAAGTTAGATTCACTCACTGCTGAAGTTAATTCACTCACTGCTGAAGCCCTCAAGATGTGCAACCCTGGTTCTCCTTCACTGTGAGCAGGACATGGGCAGCTCTTAAACTCAGAGCTCGGCTTGAAACTCAGATGTGGAGTGACAGTCCTGCAGTCTGAGCCGAGCCTCCAGACACACCAGCCCTCCCTGCAGTGAGCCTGAGCCAGGGGCAATTAGCAGGAAATCTTCAGCTGGATGCTTGGATAAGTGTTGTGATTTCTCTGTTAAAAGAATTTCTGACTGCATCCCTAATGCCTGGTGCTAGTCTGCTTTACTCTAATATGACAAGTTTTTGCCAGCCAGGACAATTCAATTTAGCAGTAACATGAAAGAAAAAAATTCTGTGTTTTCATTGCAAGAAAAAGCAGTGCTGAGGTCTTGGTAATCTTATTTGCAAAACATTCCACTGTTTGTGTTAATTATGCAGCCGAGACTATCCCCTGCAACCTGGAACAAAGCATTTCAAAACCGCCCCGCTTCTGCAAGGACGTTTGCTACAGACACCGGATGACCTCGTGTCACCTCCTTTCATGCTCCACCTGGTGTTGGGTCACTTGTGATCTGAAGTGACCTGGATAAAGAGCTAAAGGGCTGAGAATCTCTGCCCTCGGGCACCTCAGCGCCTTTGCAGACTGAGGAGCCTGCCCCGAGCTGGGCAGAGCTGTCAGGCACCCACAGCGACAAGAGAAAGGAAAAAAGCCTTTCCCCTCCCAGCGGGACAGGAGCACAGCAGTCACCCCCTCCCACCCTCCTGCTTCCCCCTGCTTGCCCTGATGTGCTTCAGAAAGCTCTGCAGGGTGCTGGCTGCTCTGCACAGCGCCTCTGTGTGGGCTTTGAAGCCGGCACCAGGGGACAGCCTTGGCCCTCGAGCACCGAGTGTTTCACATTGCCCCAGATCACTGCCCAGACATCTCTTGGGTTTTTCTCCTCCGTTTTTTAGCGCCTGGCTCGCACTAAAAACAGCCCAGCAGCCTGAGGAGGTGCATGTGTGAGTAGGTGGGTGCATCCTTTGGCCGTGGCACTGCACTGGCCGCAGCAGCAGCTGCAGAGAGGTGCCTTTGGCGCCACGCTCATCTCCATTGTCTAAGTGGGCACTGGAGTGAGGACCTCTGCCAGATGCATCAGGGATTCCTCCAGAAGACTTCTGCTTGCTGCTGGAAGTGGATGCCATGTGCTTGGGCACAAATCAGCCAGGGTACAGATGGGTGAGCAGGAGCCAGGCTGCAAACCAGCAAACAGGGCAGCTGCCCAGCTGGCACAGCTCAGCTCAGCTCAGCTCCAGTCTGGAGCTGAACCTTTTGCCCTGATTTATTAATGTAAAGGGACTTCTCCACACTGGTGGGATGCAGTGCAGTGATGCTGTGTGTATCTCTGTGAAAGTAGGGGATGGATCCATGTGGCAGCAAAACCAAAGGGGTTATTGATGGATTAAAAACAACAGAAGTGCCTCAGAATGGTCATGTAGAAATTAGAGCCTCTCTCCCCCAAAAGGTGGTGGGATGAGCCCAGGAGGGCACCCTGTACTGTAGCCCCTTGTAGAGGAATACAAACAAGACATGCTGAACCATCCCTAGCAGTGAAAATCCTCTGGAGTCACCACAGAACATTAAACCTGGAGAAGGACAAACACCTGCTGCTCATGGAGAGGGCACAGAGAAAGATGAAGGTCTTACCCGAACAAAGCTGGCTGGGAACCAGCCTTCACTGTCCAGAATCCTGCCCCACCACCACTCCTTGTTGGTGGCATCCATCACTTCGATGACATCTCCAGCCTTGAATCCCAGCTCCTGGTCATCCATGGTGACGTGGTCCCAGAGCGCCTCGGCGTACACCACGCTGCCATCGCTGATCAGCTGCGGGCACAGAGGCACAGGTCAGTCCCTCAGGGCAGCAGCACCCCGTGCCAGCCTGGCTGCAGCCCTGGCACACGCCCTGGCACAGCCCTGCTGCCTCTGTGCCCCATGAGCAACGAGGAGAGGCTGCAAGGCTGGCAGCTGCTTTGCCCTCACTTGCATTTTTTCTCCTTTCAGAATTATTGTGCCAGAGTATGAACCTGCATGCACAGAAGTTTCATTTTCTTTTAAAAATAAAGAAAAATCAGTTATTTATATAGAACTGATAATGGCCCATTGCATCTTGTGCCCCAAAGTCTGCTACTGATCCTTACAGTAATAGAGAATCAAGATGATCCACTTGAATCAAGATGAGTCACCTAAGTACAGAAGAATTATTAAAAAAATTAAGTTTCAAGGAAATTTTATAAGATGCTTAAATAATTTGAAGGTGTGGCAGGAAAAAAATTCCCTAGTTTTAGCCCAAACTCATTTTCTGTATCAAATCAACACTATTCTTAAGGACTGAACTGATATTATCAACAGCATTTATTCAGAATCACTGGCACACACTATGTTTACCACCATAAAAATATAAATTCTGGTATTCCATCCTGCTGGCTTTGCCTCAGCCAGCAAACAAGGCTGTTTCCCATCAGTGAAAGAGGTTTTCAACAGTGTTTCCTGGTGAGGCCTATGGTACAAGAGGGACTCCTCTCTCCTTGATGAACTGAGAGTTGATTATCTGAAGGGTGGTGATGAATGAGAGTTGATTATCTGGGGGGGGGGGGTAACTGGACTGAGACTCAAGTTCTGTTTTGCGTGGTGGTGGAAATTGGGGGGGAGGAGGAGGAATGTTTTTGGAATGTTTTCATTCTGAGTTCTGTGTGTTCCCTTTTTTCATATTGTAAGTTAATAAAGTTCTTTCCTTTATTCCTAAGCTGGAGCCTGCTTTGCTCTATTCCTGGTCACATCTCACAGCAGACACCAGGGAGAATATATTTTATATATGGGGGCACTGGCATTGCGCCAGCATCAAATCATGACAAAGGCTTGTGGAGGATGCTCTGGTGCTGCCAGGGCAGCTCTGCTTTGGAAAGCCTTCAACTAAAACCTTGAGCATCAATATTTAGAGACAGCAGAAATTTCTGGAATGTTCTGCCCAGGGAGGTGGTGCAGTCCCCATCCCTGAGTGTGTTTAACAAAGCCTGGATGTGGCACTGGGTGACAGGGGTGAGTTGAGCTGTTGGGGCTGGGTTGGACTCACTGAAGGTCTTTTCCAACCTGGTCATTCTGTGATTCTGTGAAAAAGCATTCAGAGGCCTCAGAGCTACTCTGGAATGGGGAGAGCCTGAAGCCTGTAAGGTGGTTAAAGGTTGCACTTAAGATGCTCAAAATAAGACTCCTGGAGAGTTTGAAGCAATTATACTGAGGAACAACAATTATTTACCATCGAGGCCCCACTGTAGGAAAAACAGGACCCCCAACAATTAAAAAACCCAAACCCAAACCAAAGCCCATGTGTCTGGAAGCTGCAAGGGGGCTCTGAGCTCAGTGATGCCTGGAGGCACTGCTGACCATCCCCACCCCAGCTGTGGCCAGGTAACACCTGGGGGTGCTGCAGGGGTGTCTCTGTCCCCTGCTGGCCACCACAGCAGCAGTGCCTGATGCACTGGTTTATCAGGGCTGTGTCCCTTGGATTTCCACAACTCCATTGCACACTCACAGAGTTCCCAGAGCCTGAGTGTGCCTGGGACTGCATGAACACCAAGGATTTTCCCAAGAGGATGGAGTGCATACTGGAGTTCTGCCAAAAAGCACTTGGCCATTGTGGAGTGGCAGTGAAGGTCTGTTTTTCTCCAGGAAAATGCTGCAAAGATGAATTATGGGAAGACAACAGGAGGACAGTATGGGAGGCACACAGGAGAAAGAGAGAAGCTGTAGGAAAGCCAGTGTCCCTGGTAGGTGTCCCAGCAGTGACAGTGACACCACAGCACACAGGGCATGGCCACCCTTGGCTGCTCAGTCACCCCGAGCTCTCCCCTGCTCTGGGTCACTGCTGCTGCCTCTCACAAAGGGGAGATGCACGTTGGGAAAGAACGTCAGCACAATCATCAGCTGAGTAAATCAGAAGAGGGTTAACGAGGCATTTGAAAGCAAATTGAAATGCAGTCTGCCTTTGGATAGCTAATGGCCCCTCACTGAACCAGAAACAGCTTAATGCAGTGTTTCCATTCTGACAGAGATAACAGCATGATGGGGAAGGAGAGGGTGAGAGTTCCCACTTATCTACACAGCCAGTGTAGCCACGCTAGGTGGGATGCACTGATGCTGTATTTGTGAAAATAGGGGATGGATCCATGTGGCAGCAAAACCAAAAGGGTTATTGATGGATTAAAAATAACAGAAATGCTTCAGAATGGCCATGTAGAAATTAGAGCCTCTCCTCCCCCAAAAGGTGATGGGATCAGCCCAAGTGAGCGCATCCACTAATGCACACAGGATGGGAAACAAACAGGAGGAGCCCAGGGCTATGGTGTGGAAGGAAAGCTGGGATACAGGTGCCACCACAGTGGGATGAGTCTCACAACAGAAGCGCTGCAGGGGTGGCCATAAATCCTCCAGAAGGAGCAGCCATGGAAGGAGAGGCAGTGGGGGAGCCCTGGGTGTGAGGGAGTGTTTTGATGACAGTGATGGCAGGGCTGTGTCCCCCTCTCTGCCCTCTGGTGCCAGTGACAGGACCCACAGGAATGGCCTGGGGCTGTGGCAGGGCAGGTTTGGGCTGGATATCAGGAAAGGTTCTTTCCCCAGAGGGTGTGGGGCACTGAACAGCATCCCCAGGGTCACAGCCCAGGGCTGCCAGAGCTCCAGGAACGTTTGGACAACACTGTCAGACACAGGGGGGAATTCCGGGGGTGTCTGTGCAGGGCCAGGAGTTGGACTCTGATCATCCTTGCGTGTCCCTTCCAACTCAGGATACTCTGTGATTCTCTAGATATATTTATCCATGAGCTGGATGAAGGGATTGAGTGCACCTTCAGTGATTGAGAGGTCTTAGCTTTGTAACATAAAGCAGTGACAACTAGAGTAGGGAAGAGAGCAGGTGTAAAAGTGTGTTTTTCCAGACTTGGCTCTCAGATTTCAGCCCCAGAAGAACAGCTGGGCTGTGGGTGAGGGCAGTGTAGCCACTCTCACAAAGGGCTCTGTGCTGCTTTGGGCAATCCATTTGCTCTGGGACTGCAGGGAGTGACTGGTGCCTGTGCACAGCACAAGCTGAGCCCAGCTCCTCCTGCTGCAGGGAGCTGTCACAGACACATTTTATGAAAAATCCCTTCATTAGGATCTTTTCTCCTGAGAAGCTGGGAGGCCTCAGGAACAAAATGTAAACAATGGTTATCTGCTGCTGTGGAATGCAACAGGTGCGTCTGTGATTGGTCTGATGTGGTTGTTTCTAATTAATGGCCAATCACAGTCAGCTGGCTCAGACTCTCTGGTCAGTCGCAAGATTTTATTATCATTCCATTCCTTTCTATTCCTTGCTAGCCTTCTAATTAAATCCTTTCTTCTATTCTTTTAGTAGAGTTTTAGTATATAATTTTCTTTTTATATAATATATATAATAAAAAAACAAATCAGCCTTCTGAAACATGGAGTCAAGATTCTCATCTCTTCCCTTGTCCTGGGACTGTCACACCTTGGTAATGTGATGAGAAGAAAAGAGGCCAAGGCTGAGCCAGCATTCACAGCACAGAGGGCTGACACACCCAGCTCACAGAGCCACATGGTTCTACTCAGAGTCACTGAAATCCACAGGGCTGGGTAGGGAATCCTCAGCTGGTATTTTAATCCATCCATTAATATCAATACCTTGCATTTTCTCTATTCAACCACAGCCATACCGTGGATATGATTTAGAAAATATAGGAAGTCACAACTGTGGGATCACCAGCCTGGCCAAACAAGACACTGCCAGTTCTCAGGCAAAGGAGTAAATAAAATACACCTGAACAACAGGCCAGGATTTGTTTAACTGACAGCAAACACCATGTTTCTGGGGAGGAGTCATCTATAAAGCATGAAATAAAGAGCAAAAAATCAATTTCAGCTGTTCATGGGATGATCTCAATTAATGTAACACAGCAGCACTGCACACACCTTCACGTGCTCAGGCTGACCTGGCTCCTCCCTGCCCAGCTCCTCCTGTGCTGGCACCCCAGGGTGGGCAGGGCACACCTGGGTGCTGAGCAGGGCTCAGGGAGCAGGGCTCTGCTCCTCTCTGCCCCAGCTCAGGCTCTGCCTTTCTCTGCTATTTCCCACTGTGTCCAGTCCAGCAGAAACACCCAGCACACCCAGGCCAAGAGCCCCTCTCCCAGAGCAGCTCAGGGCCAGGACTGGCATTTCCACGGCACAGGAGCAGCCAGGGTGCCCCAGGGCACTGCAGCAAGGAGAGCTGCCCCAGCTGGGGGCGCAGCACTGCCCCATCCTCCCCAGGGCAAGGTGCTGTGGGGAAACGGGGGCAGGACTCTGCAGCAAGGGAGAGAAATCATAGAAAGAGGCTTCATAAAGCCAGGCCTGCTCTCCTGGAATCACTGCCTGGCCTTGTCAAAGCCAGCATTTGCAAGTTCCCATGTGAAAGAAATCCTGGTGTGAGTAGTTCATTAACATAACAATCTATTCCTGGGTAAAAAAAAAAAAAAAAAAACAAAAACAAACTTGTACCTGTATAAACTGTTTTTGCATCATCAGACAGAAAAATGAAAACTATCTCTTACAAACAACTTTCCCTGCATGTACACACTGAGAGTTTGAGTGACCAATCAATACAGAATAACAACTTGTTACTGACCAATAAAGTAATTGCCAAGAAATCTCCTGACCAACTCGTCCCACACGAGATCTGTAACACTGTATAAAAGGAGTTATGTGAATAAAGAATGGCCTTTTCCACCATGAAGACACTGGAGTCCTGTGTGATTTATTCCCTTAGCACTCTCCTACCCCGGGAAGGATAAAGCACATCA